TTACGATATCGTACCATCCAGGCATGCGCATGCCAAAGTTCTGCTCTCACTGTTAGCACCATTGATCCCGCACCGTATGTGAAGGAGTAGCTCTTTCGGGTACGTACCACGGTGATGGGGATGTTCGGCGCATTGGGAAAGATGAACTTGACGTCCTCAAACTTTTCCCGCCGTCGCCAGGTCTCTGCGAGCGACACCCTGGCGGCTGCGATGAGTGCTGTGATATTTCCGAGAGGACTTCTCGGGGGGCCGTGATGAACTCACCACCCTGCACCGCTGTTTTAGTTCACAGATAATCAGTCAAAAAGCCCCAAGAAGACTTCTCCGCGCAAATCCGCGTTGGGATACTGACCTGTCCCCCAACCCATGGGCCATAATCACCGTCGCCGTATGTGTCTTGAGCGCAGGTACGATCAACGCTTGTTTGCCCGCCATCTTTGCGCACGCGATATTGATTTCTGGACCGATTCAAGAGAGGAGACGGAGGAATAGAGCAGAAAGTGAAACTATGTTTAGTGGGTAAACAAAGGCTGGTGGCATGGACAACTCAGTGCCGTTACTGTAATAGAGAGCGGGACATTGGGCAAGCGCGGGTATCGTGTTGGCTCAGCCGAGGTTGTTCCGGACGGTGATGAATCAAGGCACCTATGCAGAATTTCTGTTCTTTTCCAATTCTCTGTCATGATCGCTGGATATGTGTAACGCCATGTGCTTGAGAATGCTCCCCGGCTCAAGCGAAAGAGTTGGAGAGTGACACTGGAGTTGATATCGGGATGCGTAAGCCCTTAAAATTGTTCAGTGCTGTAAGAAATACGAGCTGGATTGTGCTGCTGGTCATAGTTGGTTCACGAGAATGCTAGCAAATTAGTGGTACAACAAAGCTATGTGGCCTCGTCTGGGGGCAAGATACACTGACCGTGACTCAATGCTTGACTAAGACTGCTATTACCATACCTCGCACGCCTGGACAATATACTTGCACTTTGTTCCCAGACTGCGTATCCGCAGCTACACGTGATCTCGCACACGCACACACACGACCCCGAGGTCTCGAGCCGCAGCAAAATCGCCAAGACTGTCATAAAGGGCACAAATCCCTAGAAAGTTGAACGTCCTTGAATCATCCCGCAACCCGAAGCTCAACCCGCTCTTCCATCTCCCATCTTCATCCTCTTGTACAGCTAGGACGGAAATCCGAGCGTTGTCTTGAGATTTTCCTGAGCCTCTTTTTCGCTTCTCGGTCCTTCCGCCACCTCTGAAGCTTTTCTGAGTCTTGGATTCCAAGGGCTCGGCGAAAACGTCTTTTCCACCCCGAGAGCAATTGGATTTGTGTGCTTGCGCTTTCTAGCCGTGACATCTCTGAGCTGAGTGAAGCTCAGCAACAGACACCAACCCACCACAATGGATCAAGAAAAGCTCAAGCGCATGCAGGCGCAGGTGCGAATTGGTAAGTCACTCACAATTATCCCAAGACAACTATGGTATGTAACCCCCTGCTAACAATGAATATAGGGTACGTTCCTTGATTCCTTCCTCGTACTCACTGTCAATCTGCAAACCCAATTTCACAAGAATTCATGTTTGACCGCCGAGACCCGCTCATCTGACATCCTGATTCTTTGATACAGAGGCAAAGGCACGCCGCGCCGCAAAACCAAGAAGGTGCACAAGAGTTCCGGGACCGACGACAAGAAACTCCAGACAACGCTCAAAAAAATGAACGTGCAGCCCATCCAGGCCATAGAGGAGGTCAACATGTTTAAGGAAGACGGCAATGTGATACATTTCGCTGCGCCAAAGGGTACGTGATCTTCGCATCCAAAACACTGCAGCAAGGACGGGTGTACAAGGACAAGAGTCCTAGAAATTCAAGAGGAGGATGGAAAGGGTCCATTAAGGGTTTTGTTCCAAAATGAACCGGAAGCTAATATGCCATTTTGTTTTGCATCACAGTCCACGCCTCAGTGCCTTCGAACACGTTCGCCATCTACGGTAACGGCGAAGACAAGGAACTCACGGAACTCGTGCCGGGCATCCTGAACCAACTCGGCCCCGACAGCCTCGCCTCCTTACGTCGCTTGGCAGAGTCGTACCAGAGTTTACAGAAGAAGGAAGGCGGTGAAAAGGGCGAGGGCAAGAAGGAAGGCGAGGACGAGGATGACGACGAGATCCCGGATCTGGTCGAAGGAGAGAACTTTGAAGGCAAAGTCGAGTAAGGAGAAAGAGAGGCCCCGAAGTACGCAAAGCTATGGGTAGATGGGCGGAGGATGTGATTCCCCCTCCCAAATATGTAAAAAGGGTCCCAAAAGAGACAGGGGAAAAAAAACTCGAGGGCTCTAAAAGGAAAAAAACAGACTGAATACGCATCACATCCATGTCCCCTTCTCCCCTCTGCATTGTATGCGAGGGGGAGAAAAGGGAATGAATGGTCCAATTTTCTGGCGGCAATGCGTCGGTGTGAATGTGAGAGAACGGACTTTTTTGGTTCCTCTGCTCTCTCTTTGCTCTTTTCTCAGTCTTTTGCTGCCTCTTCCGTCACTGTCATTGTCACCACCACCACCACCACCACGACCAAGACTGGAAAGCCATGAGGAAGAGATGTATGTACGGTACGGTATATGGATGATGAGAGGGACAAACCTGCTCGTCGGCACTACTGCTGCCACAACACTCCAACTATTGAGGATGTTCCCTTTCCCTCTCCCCATTCCTCTCTGCATGTGTGTATCTGCGTGATCAACCACCCCCAAGCGCCAGCTACTTAGCTTCCCAGTTCGCCCAACAACCTAGCTACGCTGAGCTATGCTGCTGGTTTTATCCCAAACGTACTCGGTACATTAGGTAAAGTATGTACATATGGTCTGTCCAGGTGGCGCTAGTGCTCAACTGCTCATGGAAAGGTGTCTAATCGTAATTCCTAACCCCTCCCCCCAAAAAGTCGTGTGTAGCGTTGCGAGTTGGTTTTGTTCCAAGTTCCAATTACAGTACCTATCCCAGACTCCGGACTGAGACCGGCAACACACTCAATCGTCCTTCAGGCCACAAAAGTCGGTTCCGAACCACCTGTCCACGCCGTGCCAGAAGCTCCAGTACCAGCCATTAGCTGGGTCCCAGCTCCCGTCGTCCTTGACCAGTGGCCCCTCCCCAATCACATCACGTCGCCCCGCGGCTCCTTGCTTCGTGCTGCCCATAAAGTACGACACAATCGGGATGCTCCGAAGAACTCTCTCTGCAAAGGTCGGTTGCGGGGGAAGGGCTTCCGACATGGGTCGCAAGACCACCTTTTTCACGTTTTTGATGTGCGTCATGTATTCCGAATCCGGCGTGTGCTGGGTGGCTTCTCCAGGCAGCTGGGGCACAGAGCGTGAACGTAGACCAGTGGATGAGGATAGCTGTGGGGGTGCCAGGTCGGTGGCCGTCGCCGTTGCCGATGATGCGGTCGCGGAATCTACAGAAATTTCCTCTTCTTCATGGTTGGGAGGCTGTCCGTATTGCATGTCGGGCATGGTGTGAGATCGGGGTAGGGTCTGGAGCGCCCGCTCAAAACCCGCAATGGCCGACTGTTTGCCTGATAGCATACGGGAAGATTGCGACGAGCTTAAGGTCCGTGCTCTCCGACCATCATCAAGATGTCGCGACGACTGTGGCTGGGGCTGTAGAAGGTCTGACCCATCGAGCCCGGGAGCAGGGCCTCTGGGCAAGGGAACGTCTGCCGCTGGGCCTTTTCCGTGCCACATCTCGCAATGCACCATGTAACCATCAATATCAATGGGACTGTAAAAGCATGCCCTCTCTGCGGCCTGGTAGGAGTCGAATGTGATCTTGATCCAGTGGTTCCCACCACAATAAATCCGACTCTTCTTGATGGCCTCACGGCTGAGGTTCTGATGGACCACCACAGAGGCTCTCGAGAGGCCAAACGGTGAGTTCGAGGAGAGGTAGAGGTTGGGATCTTCTCGTGGGTAGTCTTCGCAGATTATGCCGGGTGAGACGATCTTTTCGAATTTCGACAGGACCTTCCATTCCGAGTGTTTACCTGCGTAGCCGTAGAGTAGACATTCCGTGGGTACGGCTTCTGGCTGGATCGGCCGTTCTGTCGCGGGTACTTCGCCTGGAGCGGTCGGGGGAGATGGTAACGTGGTCTTCCTCTCTTCCTCTTTCGCTTGTTCCTTTGCAAACAATCTCCCAAACTCGGCCACGGCAGTGTTCTCCTTTTGTCGAACCGGTGTGGTGCCTGTCCTCGCGCGCGGCGTTCGTGACGCCGTGGATCTTATACTGCGATTGCGACCGAAAGGCCCGCTCTCTTCTGGTAGCTGTCTGGCATTTCTCGCGGAGCTGTTCGACGACGAGTTAGAGTGTGGTTCTCCGGGTGGGAAGGCCCCCGACAAGAATTCAAGGTTCGCATCGAAATTAACTGACTCTGCATAGCGATAACCCCAGGGAAGGGTCTCGCCTTTTGGATCTCTTGCTCGCTCTTCAGGTAACACGGAGTGGATCTCCATCGGGGAAGTCACTCGCCAGAAGTTGTGTGTCGTTGAATAAAATGCGCGGCGGTGTCGTATGCGGGTTGTGGCAAGTTGAGGAACCAGACGAAGCTAGATGTGAGTCAAATGTTGCAAGAAAAATTGGTGCCAGCCAAAGGCAGCGCGCATACTTGTAGAGGGCAGCGTGCCTTGTACCTGAAAGCGAATAATTTATTGTTTACCCTGGGAAGCCCTTGTCTCCGCAGAATCTCGGGTGTCGAGGGTGAAACGCCCTGGCACGTGACACCCGACTGAGCAGTGGTGGACTCGACATCAAGTCGTCGCGCAACTCTGAGAATAGGCATTATTTTGAAGCCAGATATTTTCTCCTGAGTTATAACAACGATCGTCTTGGGGTTCTTCCTCGACTATATACCATGTTTAGAAGAATCTACAGCCAGTTGCGTCCGTGGCTCCTGTATTCACGTGACAAGGCTGCCTCACCCTTTTATGCAGTGCCAACACTATCATCCTCCCTCATGAAACAGCCACCTTCTCCACGTTCTGTTTGCTCTTCTCCTTCAGTTCCTCATACTTGGCTTGCAAATCCTTGATCTTGGTCTCGTACAGCTTGCTCGCATCCATGCCTACAGCCTTCATCCAGTCTGGATCAATGGCCTCAGGGTTCAGATATGGCGATACATCCTCTTTGTTGACCAAGGCTTGCACTGTACCCATGCCCAAGAACGCCCACATATTCTTCTTGGCAGGTCCAAGGTATTCGATCTCAAAGTCTTCATAGCGAGGGGTCTTGATGGCTTCGATGTAATGCAAGGATGAGCCTGGCCAGACGGCATTGACACGACCCGTCTCGTTGTTCTTGTACCTGATGAGGAGGTCAGTCGATGGGCGTTCACTTAAAACGATTAACGAGGGGGACAACGAACCATGACCGGCATTCTTCGACCCACACGGTATGCCGGACCCATTCCTGGCAATGTTCATTGAACGCATCCGTCACATCTTGTTTCGGGGCGATGCTGCAAATGTACTCGGACTGGAGCTTCTTGATCATCTGCAGAGCGTAGTATGAGACGTACATCAACGGGCCCATAACGCTCCCATTCTCCACAGGCCAGTTGGGACCGATGAACGTCAAGAAGTTGGGGAACTCGGGAATCGCAAGGCCAAGGTAGCCCTCGGGGCAAACCTTCCACTTATCGGCCAGGTCGACTCCGTTTTGGCCGACAATGGGGAAGCGAGGACGGTATGAGACGTCAAAGCCAGTGGCACAAACAATTGTGTCGACTTCGCGGTGGATGCCATCGCCACCAATAAGCCCTGTTTCGTCCTTTTGAACATTAGCATGCCACAAAGATGTTACGTCGAAGCTTGTCCAAAACTTACAATCTTCACAACGGGCGTAAAGTGTACGTCAACATTGGGTTTCTGAATAGCTCTGCCGAAAATGTCAGATTGAGGGAATAACCAACAGTGCAAGGGGACACCTTACTCCATATATGGATCACCAGGAGTGATCCTGCGACAACCAATGCCAAAGGTCGGGGTAAACCCTTTCAGGAGTCTCTCATCCTTGATCATCTCGGCCATACGGGCCTTCAAAGCAGCCTGGCCTTCTGCCTGCGCTTTCGAGTTCTTATAAAAGGAGCCCCAGAGTCCATTGACCTGGTCCTCGATGGATTTGGCATGCTCGGTGACCTTGTATGGATCGCGGAAGTCTTGTTTCTGCTCGTCCGTATATTCGTGGTTTGCACCAAAGTTGTTCGCAATTTGCACGAACCAAACACCTGAGCACACCAAGTCAGAACTCCATCTCCAACAAATCGAAGCATCGACCACGAAGTGATCGAGTCCCCGGAACACATCCGCTGAATGGCTGTGGAAATCGTACCAGTTCGGACGAACACGTCGAGATGTTTAACGTGGGGCTGCATCGTCGGTACTGTCTGGATGCTCGAGGCCTGTTTGAAGAGTCAGAGTTAGATATGTCCCAGAGTAAGAGGTGATGGCGGAAACATACTCCAGACCCAATGACAGCAACACGATCTTTCTTCCACTGCTCGGCCTGGTAATCCTTGGGCCACCGGGCGGTATGCATAATCTTGCCTTTGAACTTATCCATGCCTTCGATATCGGGCCATTTGAAGTTATTCAATATCCCTGTCCCATGAAGAAGCATGTGGCATCGGTCTTCAAAGAGACGTGTGCTTCCATCCGCATTCGTCTGCTTGAGTTTGACGAGCCATTCGCCTGTCTGCTGCTGCCAGTAACATCCAACGACTTCAGTGTTGAAAGTCATGTACTTCCTCAAGCCCCATACTTCGCAAACCTTGTCAAGGTATTTCCAGATATCTGGCGAGTAGGAGAAGAAACGAGGCCAATCCGGCTGCGAATCAAGAGGTGAGAATCAGCTCCACGGACGTCGCGAAGACATCTAACTCACATTGAGAGCAAAAGGATAGGTGTAAGCATGACTCGGAATATCACATGCGCAACCTGTTTCCCCCCCAATCAGCGAACCGAACTCTGAAACCACAATGGCATGCATGTCTCTGAATAGTGAGCGTATTCTTAGAGCTGACGTTTTGGTTTGTAATACGCCCACTCGATCTCCAAGCCAAATCACCAAAGAGACACGCCTAAACAACTCATAGAAGCAACATACCTGGATATCTGTTTTCCAGCCAGGTGCCCCCAATATCGGAATTCTTCTCGTAGATGACATGCTCTACGTTCTGTAGAAACTTTTGAATGTGATAGGCATTCATGATCCCAGTCACACCGGCACCGATCGACAAGACACGGATCTTCCTGGTGTACGGACCATGCAACACGATGTCTGTAGCAGTTTGATTAGCAAGCGACTTTCCAATCCATGAAGCACGCTGGAAGTAGAATCAAGAGGAAAGAGAGGGAAGAACGACTCACCAGGAATTTCATACTCCGATCGAGGCACCCCATTACTGGCATAGCCATCAGTGGCATATTGGGTCATTGAGTTGATATCGGGGGCCATCTTGACAACCGGATGCTGAGGCTGTTTGACAGAAAGTAGTAAGAATGGAAGGGAAGCAAGGTAGAAGCCGGCGTCTTGGTCAAATGTAAAGAGTCACTTTGGTTTCAACACAAGGCAGAGTAGATGTCGCTTCAGCGCGACTTTGTCATGCAAGGAGTCGACGTGTTGGCAACTTATCACCGAAGGGGTCACAGCCCACGATGATGAATGCTGGGGAGAGGATATGAGTACTGCCAAAGTCTATGTAGAATGCTTCAGAGTGCCTTGTCGCTCCTTTATACCATTGGAGGTGGGGGATTTCCTGGACTTGGTCTTCATGACCAGTATAGTGGCTCGCGTAGCCCGCAGCACCCTAATGGCCCAATAAACTGTACTGAATGGGGGAGCACATCCGCCAGAGGGAGCATCTGTGACGCCAGGAAGGACACTAGGTTTCTTAGGCTGCCATCAGGAGAGGCTGTGGTTTGTAAACGTCCATGTGGGGGAACGCAGAATGCGGGGACAGGGTGGTAGCAAACCCTCCTCTGTTGAGCTGTGGCGATAAGGAAGCAACATTTGGCCGAGGTACAAGAAGAGGAGTGAAATTGTCGGGTTGATAATGTCGACTCAGATATCAGATGATGTGCCCCTAATTTGCATTGACTCTCCAGTCCCAGGAGAGCAGATGGCGACCATGGCGAGCATTGTCGTCGCAACCCATACGAGCAAGCCCCCAAATGGTATCATGTAGCCGGCTGACTCCGCGATCTCTGACTCGATATGCGTCTGCATCGGGGCTTCAGTATGTGCCCTCCAGCGGCAGGTCCCTCGAACTGCGACCCACAGCCAAGGTGAAGAGACCTTCAGGCATCACCCAGTTCTGTCGGACCACAGACCAGTAACTCAAATCCTTTCGTGTCAGACTGAGGTTGACCACTTGTTCTGCTCCTGCCTCGAGTTCGATCTTTGTAAAGTTGCGCAACACCCTTATCGGAGTTTCGATGACTTCATTCGTGGATGGTTCCTTGATTGTGGAGGGAAACGACACATACAACTGTACCACGGACTTTCCTTTGCGGCTGCCTGTGTTTGTAACGCGTACCTGGACGTTGACATACTCTTCAAAGAGAGCAGGATTGCCACCTTCGCCGCCTCCAGCGGCACTGGGATCTTGTGCGATGCCGTACCCATCAGGATACGGATACTTACCCTTCTTCACCTCGTCTGCGCTAGATATGTATGGGTAAATGAACTTTCGAATCTTCGTGAATGTGCTGGGAATGAGCGCACTATCGGCAGGTGGTATGTTTTCATCATAGTTTGGTGGTGTCAGGCCTGCAGGCCTCGCAGAAGGGAGGGCTGATTTTGGTTTCAGGCCTGTGACAACCAGGTCAGAGAAATCGAATGTCGTGAAAGACAACCCGTGGCCAAATGGATAGCGAGGCTCCACGCCTGCCTTGTCGAAATGCCGGTAATCGATGAACAAACCCTCCCTGAAATCAACCTGAGGAATGATGGCGTTGGGATAATAAAGTACTGGAGCACCCGGGCCATATTCAACAAGAGACTTGCCGACCGTGTATGGAAGCCGTCCAGAAGCATCGGTTCGGCCGAATAGGACGTCAGCGAGGGCGTTTCCACTCTCTTGCCCAGGCAGGTTCGCGAAGACAATGGCCTTGACGGACGGTAGATCGGCAAAGTCTTCAAGGATGACAGGACCAACAGAATGGACAATGACGACGACAGGACCGCCACATTCGTCGGCCACAGTGCGGATCAACGAACCCGCACCTTTCTGAATCTCCAGGTCATTTCTGTCTGCACGTTGACTATGCCAGATACGATGTCCTTCGCCCGAGTCTGCGTTGCCAAAGACCAGGCATAGATGTTGTTCTCTGAGCGCCTTCTTCAAGCTGGAAGACACCTTATTGGTAAGCGAGCTGGTCATTTCGACCACCGACAGGTCGAAGCTCGAATTCAACGCTGAGAGCGGATCCACAAGATAAGTAAAATCGGTGGCACCAGAGCCCCAACCCACGGCGAGAGTGCCTTGATTGCAAGCTCGATCATCGCAGTAGTTGGGTCCCCTTCCAGGGCCGGCGTCCTCCCCAATAACGGCGACGCGCTTGGGGCTACTGGAACCAAGCTCGGAAAGTGTGGGACTCAGCGGCAAGATCGAATCTTCGTTCTTCAGCAGCACGGTGCCCTCACTTGCAACTTCTCGAGCTACTTGTCGGCTCTCGTCGTTCTCTGTCTCGACATACTTATTGACAAGCACTTTGTCCTGTTTGCTGCTGCTGCCGGCATGTGGATAGCCGTATTCGTCGTGCGTCCACGAGGAGAAGTTGGGCCCCTCGGAGTCCCAGGAATCCTGTTCCAGCTGATACCACGCAGCAACGATTCGGGTGACCATGTCGTTGAGCCTAGTTAGGGGAAGAGAGCCATTGAGTACCGCAATCGTGAGCTGCTCACCGAAGAGTGATCTTCCATCCTGCCAATACAGCCCATCCCCAGGCATGGACATATCAAGGCCTGCCAGAGCACTAGCAACACCACTGCGTTGAGCCAACCAGTCTGACTGAACAAAGCCTTGGAATCCGAGTTCATCCTTCAAAAGACCATTCATCAACTTGCTGTTCGCACAAGCATAAGAATTGTTGACCATCTGGTAGGAACACATGATGCTTGCCACTCCAGCTCTTACGCTCTCGGCAAATGGCCAGGCGTAGACTTCATGCAGAGTGCGATCATCAATGTTGGAAGAAAGAGCCTCAGGAAGACCCCACTCCAGTCCTCGACGGAAATGCTCCTGCTCATTGCCGATATAGTGTTTTGCTGTTGCCATGATTCCCTGGGACTGAATGCCTTGAATGGTCTCGTATGCAGCGACCCCCTGTAAGACTGGATCACTGCCAAACCCTTCCCACGTTCTGCCACCTGCTGGGTTTCGACCCAATGGTCCCATTGCTGGCCCAAGAAGGATGTTGACACCTTTGAGCCTTGCTTGACGTGCATGGGCAGCACCACGACGACGCATCAAATCACGGTTCCAGGTGGCACCCACCGTGATGCCAGCAGGAAAAGAAGTTGCATGGTCTGCAAATCGTATTCCCAATGGCCCATCCTGGAGACAAAGGCCGGGGAACCCAACACTCGTTGCAGGAGCAGTATTGCCCACACATAATCCCATTGACCATCCTGTACCGGTGGTGATGTTGACCTTCTCTACGAGGCTCATACGCTCAACCAACTTTTGAGCTTTGTCGTAGCTGACTTGCCATGATGCCAAGGTCCCGCCTGGCGGTGTCGGGTACCATGGCGGAGACTGCCCATTGATCTGACCCTTGGTATACACCCAGTAGCCACCGCCACCAATGACCGAGACAACGACAGCTAAGAAGAGGACCGACAAGGCAATGTATTGCTTGGTGAGTTTGGGGCCGACGCAGAAGCGGCTGGCCACGGTGTCGGAATATTCTCGCCGTCTGGGGAACCTGTCGTGGGCGGAGGAGCCTAATAAAGCGACCTCGCTTGAGGAAGCGGCATCGCTTGCTGGCCGACCGGAGCGGAGGGTGAAGGTCTGGGGTGTCTTCAGGTCATCATCGGACTGGTTCCCTCCGTCAAGCTCAACTTCAGTGGCATTTTCAAGAGGCTGGTAACGGGCCTGTCTAGAGGACATCTTTTGCATTATTTCTTCTCAGACTGTTGCGAGCATTAGAAAGGCTGACCGCGAGCCAATCAACCGCGGACAGGATAGAATCGGAACCTACCTACCTCGTACAGCTAGCAAGAATCCAGGGGCACCCAAGCGGGGCGGCTTGGAGGCGACCTTGATGGGGGAGCCACTTGCGATGGGCCGGCAATGGCCGAGGCAGTCGGAGCTCGATCGGGGGTGCGGCACAGCAACTGGGAATGGCGGGTTCAATAGGTCAGTTGCAGTCTAGACGAGACGGAGAATGGAAAAGAGGGTGATGTAAAGTAGATGGCCAGAGGTAGATAGCTTGCGGTACTAGTGAGTGAGGGACGTTGCAGAAATCTAAGAAAAAGTGGTTGAGAGAATGTTTGAGCTCTGACTTTTATTTTATTCCTCTACTTCCCCCCCCATCGACCCTGCCCTTGTTTTCCCACTCTCTTCACTTTCTTTGGTTCTCTCTCAAGTCGGTGAGCAAATCGACCAAAGCCTGACCAGCACAGCCCTGTCGTGGGCTCGGGGAACACAGACACCTGTCACTTGTCACTGCCCGCATCGAGCACTGAGTGTTTGTTGGCTCGTCACCTCATCACCGTCCTCACGCCTTCATCAGCCTCGATCTGACCCTGCTTGATCGCCCTTTACCCAGCCATGCTGGTGTCCTCTGCATTCAAAAGAGCTCCAGTGCGAAGGTTGGCTGCTGGTGCTTTGGCTGCTCGACCGCAAGCATCCTCCTCGGCAATCCGTACACCGCAGAGCTTGAGACTCCCTCGTGCTACGCTTAGCCTGACCTCCTCCTTCTCAACTTCTGCGAAGATGGCTTCCTCGGCGCCCTCCAAAGCCCCGACTCAAGCCTACGACCCTGAAATCACCGACATCGCCTCTTACGTGCACAACTACAAGATCGATTCGGACCTCGCACTCGATACCTCCCGCTATATTCTCCTCGACACGATCGGCTGTGGTTTGGAGGCTTTGCGTTTCCCTCAATGCTCGGCCATCCTCGGCCCTGTCGTCCCAGGATCCACCATTCCTCATGGAACTCGAGTCCCAGGAACGCCGTTTGAGTTGGATCCCGTGAATGGTGCTTTTAATATTGGTGCTATGATCAGATGGCTGGATTACAATGACTGCTGGCTGGCTGCAGAATGGGGCCATCCCTCTGACAATCTTGGTGCTATTCTTGCAGTTTCTGACTGGATCGCACGGACGAACAGAGCTGGCGGTAAGGTCGGCAATGGCAAGATCCCCACCGTCAGAGATGTCTTGGAGGGCATGATCAAAGCCCATGAAATTCAAGGCTGCTTGGCTCTGGAGAACTCGTTCAACCGAGTCGGTTTGGACCATGTTGTCCTTGTGAAGGTGGCTTCGGCCGCCGTGGTCAGTAAAATGCTGGGTCTCGACGAGGGCCAGACTGCTGCTGTTGTCTCCCAGGCATTTGTTGACGGACAGAGCTTGCGAACCTACCGACACTCACCCAACACCATGTCCCGCAAGTCCTGGGCCGCCGGAGACGCGTGCCAGCGAGCTGTAAACCTCGCTTTCAAGGTCTTGCAAGGGCAATCCGGCATCCCCACGGTGCTCTCGGCGCCTGTCTGGGGTTTCTACGACGTTCTCTTCAATGGGAAAAAGTTTGAGTTCCAGCGTCCTTATGGCTCCTACGTCATGGAGAACGTCTTGTTCAAGGTGTCGTACCCGGCCGAATTCCACTCGCAGACCGCGGTCGAGGCTGCACAAAAGATTTACAAGATCCTTGCCGATATGGGCAAATCTGCTAAGGATATCAAAGAAATCACCAACCGGACTCACGAAGCCTGCATCCGGATCATCGACAAACAATTCAAACCCATGGACAACTTCGCTGATCGTGACCACTGCGTTCAATACATGGTTGCCACCATGTTGTGCTTCAACCGATTGGAGGCCACTGACTATGTTGACGGCAGCGAGGCTGCCACGTCCCCTCTGGTAGAGGATCTCCGAAAGAGGATCAAGTGTGTTGAGGATCCCCAATTCACCAAGGACTACCACGACCCTGCCTTGAGAACAATTTCCAATGCGCTGACCGTAACCCTGAACGACGGAACTGTGCTGGATGAAGTCGTGGTGGAGGCACCACTTGGCCACCGCCTGCGGAGAGACGAGGCCAAGCCCGAGATTCTGGCCAAGTACAAGAGACACTTGAGCCACCACTTCCCAGAGGCTAAGATCAAGGAGCTTCTGGAGCTGGGCACTGATGCCTCGAAGTTGGACTCGATGGACGTTGATAAGTACATGGACCTATATGTCAAGGAGAAGATGGAGTGGTAAATTACGGACACGACTTGCTAGGCGATCTGCACATTACAAAAAAAGGAGTGGAAGTCTTGGAATATTGCTGTCCAACAATCTGTTACTCTGTGGATTGCCGGGAATAGTGTATAGGCTGTTTTCCAATATATTCAAATGTTTTAAATCGCAAGCTTCTGGAGGCAGTCAAACGGCGGCGTTATAGGCCAGCTTTGGCGTGATGAACTCCCCCAATCCTCAGTTGTTGTCCCTCAGATGAAGCTCTTTATAAACTGCAGCACGCATATTGTGCACAGTCCATCCATAACTGAGCGTTCTGAATTCGAGATGCATCATTGGTGTTTGGTCCAAGCCCTTGACCACCAGCATCATTCTTAAAGCGGCGGGTTGCCGATAAGCTGATAGACATGCACGTGACTGCTTCACAGACCCTCTGGTTGCCCATCGAAACAAGTCGCCGCTTGTTGATCTCTCCAAATCCGTCGTGAATATATCCCTTGTCCTATCCCCAGCTTGTCGTAGAGCGGTCTTGTTTGCCTGCGGTGCGCAACTGACCCAAGCCATCATCCTCACTGTCTCTTCCCCATACTGATCAGTCGCTTGAGGACTCAGTGGACGGAATCAATTGCTTGACGACGCTGCTCTTGCGTTTGATTGTGTGAAGAACCGCCGCGGTCTTCACCGCCCGCCTCACCTTCCCACCGTTACCACCGCCGTCAATACCAAAACATTCTTTCGTTTGACCGGAAAATGGCTGGCGGCACCACACCTCTGTCTCCCAAATCACAACAAGACCTCAACATGGTCATGCCAATGCCCCCACCTCTGCTGCATACTCGTTCTGGCAACGAGATGTACGATCGTCCTCAGACCCCGTCAACCCCCGGAGGTGGTGTTGTCCATGGTTTCACCAGCCCGGCACAAACCCCTCAAGGGAGTCCAAGCAAGAGACAACTGCCTCCTGGAGCCAACGATCTTCCCAATGTGTTCGAAAATGCCATGAAGTTGGCTCCCACGTCGCCTACCAAGACGCAGCCAAAATCTCCAGCCAAACAGGGTTTCTCGGGTGGTGATGAGAGTGCGAGTGAAGATCCCTTCGCAGACCCGCCAGCTCAGTTTTATGGCCGTTCAGAGAGTCCCACGCGCCAATCCAACAAAGAGAATGCGCCCACTAGTGGCCTGGGATATGGTAAAGTCGTCCAACAAAATCACGCTGCCCTCTCACGTCAAGAGCAATACCGCACAGCCGATTCCAAGAAGACCATGAACACAACCAAAGGTCTCACTTCTGAGGAGCTGCAAAAGTTGCAACTGCCAAAGGTCAAACGACTGGCAAATGTGACCCAGTTGTGTATGTATGCCCACGGTCCACAATACAGGTCGGGTACTAATTGTCTTGCAGACTTCCTCGACTACTATTTTGACCTGCTCTCGTACGTCCACAATCGTCAGTCCCGAGAAGCTGCTTTCAAGGCCTCGTTCCCTGCTCCACCCGAGACACCCAGAGAAGAGTTCGATGCTGCGCTCCACAAGTACCTTGGGCGTGAGCGAGCCAATCTGCGCAAACGCCGCACTCGCCTCCGCCATGGTGACTTCCAAATCCTTACACAAGTGGGTCAAGGTGGCTATGGCCAGGTCTACCTCGCCCAAAAGAAAGACACTCGAGAGGTCTGCGCATTGAAGGTCATGAGAAAGAAACTGCTCTTCAAACTGGATGAAGTGCGTCACATCTTGACTGAGCGGGACATCCTGACGGCCGCAAAATCCGAATGGCTTGTCAAGTTGCTCTACTCTTTCCAAGATGAAGAACAAATCTACCTGGCAATGGAGTACGTTCCTGGAGGTGACTTCCGAACCCTTCTCAACAACACCGGCGTTCTTCACAATCGTCATGCAAGATTTTACATCGCTGAAATGTTCTCCTGCGTTGACGCCTTGCACACATTGGGCTACATTCATCGCGACTTGAAACCAGAGAATTTCTTGATCGATGCCACTGGACACGTCAAACTCACCGACTTCGGTCTGGCTGCTGGCATGCTGAGCCCTATCAAGATTGAAAGCATGCGCATCAAACTCGAAGAAGTAGGAAACGCCCCTGTTCCCTTTGGCATGCCTGCCGTTGAGGACCGCTCCGCCGATCAACGTCGTGAGGGTTATCGTTCCCTGCGCAAGAAGGACATCAACTACGCTAAATCCATCGTTGGCTCGCCCGACTACATGGCGCCAGAAGTTCTCAAGGGTGAAACCTATGATTTCACTGTGGACTACTGGTCTTTGGGTTGCATGCTCTTTGAAGCATTAGCAGGATACCCTCCGTTCGCAGGTGCCACTGTCGACGAAACTTGGCAGAATCTCAAGCGCTGGCAACGTGTGCTCCGGAAACCCATCTACGACGACCCCACCTACTTCCTCTCTAAGCGAACCTGGGATCTGATCACTCGCCTTGTTGCTGCCAAGGATCACCGATTCAAGTCCATTTCCGAAATTCACAAGCATGAGTACTTTGCCGAAGTGGACTTCTCGAAGTTGAGAGAGCAGAAAGCGCCGTTTGTCCCGGAGCTGGATTCGGAGACGGACGCGGGTTACTTTGACGATTTCTCGAATGAAGCGGATATGGCCAAGTACAAGGAGGTGCATGATAAGCAGAGAGCTCTGGAAGAGATGGCGGAACGGGACGAAAAGATGAACAAGGCTCTTTTCGTGGGATTCACCTTCAGGTATGCAACTTTCTCCTGTCATTCTCACCCATGCACTTTTCGACCGATTGCGGGTGTGTAAGTCCACTAACTCACGATGTGATGATGCAGACATCGGAAACCAGATGCCGAAGGAAGCCCGCGGAAGAAGATTGAGACCGAAGGCACGTTTGGAACAATTTTCTGAGAAGGTGAACGGAAGTCCTGGAGAGAGTCAATGGCATGGCACCTACACCTAGGCGCTCTATGCGAGTGCATCTGATCTCTTCTCGTCTTTACGCATTGTCGATCTGTTCATGGTACGATATGAGGCATGGGAGCAAGATGAAATACGAGGATTTGTATGAGTGTTAACAAAGCGCCGAGCACCGGATGTCGAAAGGGTAATGGAGGGTACGGTACGGCTGGAGCGATAAGAGGCTTCCCTGGGTTTGCTGCATTGGGATGGCATACAAGGCTATGGCAATATTGGGGGGAGGCGTTGGCGTCAGGATTGCTTCGCTCGTGGATCTCACCAGGTCTGTAACAAGGGAGTAGGAAAAATCATAATCCAGGTTTGAACAAGATTGGACATCCCGGGGATGGTCGGCCATGCTTCAGCGCGTGTGACATGTGCCGGTGCTGGATTTTTCTTCTTTACATGCTCAGCTGGAGCAGCTTGTCCCGTGTCAACAACAACCTGGGAACCATGCAGGAATAAACAAAAGCTTTGCCCGGCTGACACGAAACTGGCCTCGATCTGTCGGGCGATAGTCCAATCTCCCAGACGAATCCTGCCCAACTCATTTTTCCGCGACCTCTGAATCGTCCACAAGGAAGATGCCCGAAGAGTTCCTCTGATCTGCATCCGCGCGATCCTCGATTCTGCCGGAGATCTCCTCAAACAATATCTGGTCTCCTTCGCTGTCGTAAGTGGTGAACGACTTTGGCATTTCCAGCCTTCGGAGTCGAGGCAGCGCGGCCAACCTGCTGAGGGACCCAAAATCCGTCGGTGCATTTAATTCACCTTGGTTGTCGGAATACCATCTAGGCCGTGGCATGATTCTCAGTATCTCCAAGAGAGAACGTCTAATGGCCACCTCCTCTGTCTGTACTGGAGGTTCGCGAAGTGTGTTCCATGCAACGTCGATAGGCACGATCAATTCTTGAAGACCTGGAAAGACCTGCAGGATATCGAATAAGTTAGAGTTCCCTCCAGGTGCTCCGCTCGACTGGGTCAGTTCGAGACGTTGAACATAGTCAGCTTGTTTGCGACAATACAAGAAGACATCAGGTGCAAAGAAACCTGGAAAATCCGGACAAGTCAGAGTTCTCAAAGTCCGGGGCCAACTTTCGATCAGCAGATCCCACTCCGCGGAACGAGTACACATCACGTCGCTAGCATAGAGACGCGTCAAATTCCTTGGCCATCTCAAGTTCTGGATTGAATGAAGGTTCCGGTAGATTCGGAACCCTTTTGGCAGACTCAGAGAAGTCAGGTGTTCAAGTTCAGCGATGGCATGCAGAAGATCAACAACTTCTATCGAGTAAGAATCGGCGGACAGATCTAGTTGCCGCAGATGTACACATTTTGACAATGGTGCTAATGAGGCTATCCTACCGGCAGCGTCAGAGTTTTTGGGGCGTGTTGAAAGGCATGACACCGACTCACGAGAATGTGACTGCTGGGGAAGCGAAACCCTCCAACGACAATTTGGTTCGGAAGATGAGACGGGCCGTAAGACTGTTGGAACTGTCGTATGCTAGTCGACTCATATCCAGATAACTGATCATGTTTTCAAGACCGACACGCGATCTTCGCGACCGTCGCGCAGCACATATTGTTCGAACGAAGAGGTCGAAGTTGCGGCTAGAAAGCAGAGGCCGAGAGTAAAGCTGATGTACAGAAGCAGCATACCATGTTTTGGATACCAAACAGCAAGCCCAAAGTAGCCTTTGAGCATCATCGCCGCGACCAGAGGCGACATGCGAAGTTATAAGGCGGATGAGCTCAAGTGGAAGATGGACTTGAGCGCCCCGATATGCTGGGTCACCTATTTTCATGACTGGTATCGTTCTAGGAGGCTTCGAGGAGTAACATGGTTGCCCACTGGTCTTCCTATGCCCCAGAAAGCACCCTCTTGAGGAGTTGGGGGTAGTTCAGGGAGTGGTTGATGTCGTTGACAGGGTTGCAGGAAGTGGCAATGAAAATACTTCGTTGTCGTCCGCATGTAATACATGGTCATATAGATGCAACCCACTAGCCTTTTCGCCGATGTTTTTCCGATTTGATGACCATCCCTTGTGTTTTGTGTCCTTCAACCTGCCACCCTGCTCTTCCTTGATTATCTCTGCAGTTTTTCATCTCCTCGACGGAGGCTACGTGGAGGAACCGGCGTCATGAGGAGGAAGGATGCTTGTCGCTGATTCCGTCTGTATCCTGAATACGAGGTTAGCCTGGAGTGTGTCCAACAGACGACTGCAGAGCAACTGCCTGTCTTGGGAGGAGCATGTCTGTCTTGACGAGTTGTTCGTCGTGAGTACCTGCGGACGTCAGGCAGTTTATTTCCTTGGATATGTGACGGTATGCTCAACGAAATGAGAAGAGACAAAGATGGATTGTGGAATGAGAAGTGAGGCAGGATTGCCAGACAATGACAAGCGGCTTCGTTTGTGTACAGCTTTGCCCTCTTCGGTCTCTCCTTCCTGGTGGCTCCAGCACCATCATGTCGGATGTCAAAGCGCCATCTTCGACAGAAGCTGTGCTGCTTTATTGAGTCTGACCTCAGGTCAGAGTTTGAGCCACTTCAGAAAGCGAGTTTGCTCTTCTTTCATATTCAGTCTTCATATCTTCGGCCACGTCCTCTCCTCCTAGGCTCTCTCATCCTCATGTCCCTTCAGCACCACTGTATCAATCCTGTTCTCCTTCCATCTGCGCTGTGTTCACTACAGAGAACGACATTTACCCTCCAGCGCTTTATCTTCTCCTGAGCCTTTTCAGATACCGGTTTTGCCAGGTCAAGGCCATCCTCTCGCGTTCTCCTTTCTCACCTCTGCTGAGTTTCTCCCATCTGCCCCAGAACCTACCTAAGCCTACATCATCTTGCTTCGCTAGAAGCCCACATCCGCAGACGCAGGACTTGTGAGCTGGTTGATTCCACAAGGACCAAATCACGAATTCTGCAGCTTTTGGATCCAGGTCAAACACCATGATATCCTTCCTCAACTACTGCCATACTCACAAGATCTAGACCACCTCCTGTGCCAGACACAACCACGACATGTTAGGTGCCCGAGCCAGAGCTGCAGAGTATCATGCTTTCAAAGCCGCTTCTGCAAGACAAGCGAGTCGTGAAGCAGAAGAGCACAAGTTGCCTCCGAAGCCTGCCCCCGTTTCTTTGAGCGCCTTCACCAAAAATCCCCAGCTGAACCGCAACAAGGGTCCAAAAGCATGGAAGCCGCTGATCTTGGAAGATACCCCTGAAGACGACATTGACAATTTCGAGGATGATCAAGAGACGATTTCGACCCCGACCCATCAGAGAGCAGTCAACCGCAGTAGCTCCATGAGCTATGGTTCTGACACTGCTCCCGTGCCGAGTAAACCCCTGCCGACATGGTTCGAAGACAAGAACCAGAACTCGACGATCCCCACGGCACCCAAGGCAATGCTGGGAACATTCTCGCAGACGCCGTCGCCGCTTGTCAACCCGACTCCTCGACGTATCCAGCCACATGCCATCGTTCAGCACGCGCAGCAAAGCAGCCATCCCAGTGTAAATAGCTCCCCGAGTAATGTCTCTGGAATTTGTGGGTTCCCATACCCTGGTTTGACATGGTGGTTTGACTCACAGGGTATGCCCGTGTTAGGTCCAGCTGCGATGCCCACCTTCCATCCCGGTCAATATCAGGACAATTTGATGGTGCCAGACGATATCAGTCCCTCAAAACAGGAGAATAAACTCGCGTCACTGTCTCATGAACACATGGATCCATCTGCGAGTTTGGTCACTCCACAACATCATCTCCTACCCTTGACAGGAATTATCAGAAGCTCGATAATGCCGCCAATGTCATTTGTTCCCTATGAAGACGAAGCTGATCCTGGCAATCATTGTCAAACCTGGGCCCTTCCATCGGGATCAGTCGAACGTCCGGTGATGCCACATGTGAATTCAGACGGCGCTGTCCATATTGATGGAAACATCTCAGAAGCCTCTTCCTTGTCGATGCCGAATGCTATCAGGTGTTTCTCATACCCCAATACTTTCAACGAGCCGCCATCGACACAGGGATCGGTAACAGACCAGGCAACGCGTCGGCTTACCCAGCAGGCAATCCACCCAGTCCTTGTCCTACCCGATGACGAACCATACGACCGCAAGAACAAGATGCAGAGTTTTGTCGCAGCACAACAGGCATTGGCAAAGACGGGGAAAACAGTCCTTCACAATCCCGATCTACATCGAGTTAAGGCGAGTGAGTCTACTTCGCCAGCGCGCTCCACCAGCGACACCACAACAGCAGGAGGGACTTACCACTTCCAAACGTATAGCCCAGGATCCGTTATCGTTCGGAAAGCTCCTCCTGGGTTTGACCCCCGGTGGACCTTTCAAACCATTGCACAAAGCACCACCGAAGCCGCCTCTCCCTTTGACGGCTCGACCCTGCGAGAGATCTTTGAGGTCGGAAAGGAAGAGTGGTTCGAACTCAAACCAGTCAGCAAGGATCAGCGCATGAAGATGAGTCGAGTCATGAAGATATGTGCCAGAGCACAGAGTCCCGATGCACCCCAAGGCTTGCTACATGTATCGCAGACGGAGAGGAAGGAGAATCTTCAAAATTGGATACGAATCGCCACCAGAGATAACAAGCCAGTTACGCGTGCCCAGAAGTTGTTTGAGCAGGTTGCCCAAGAATGTCATGCTAGCCATGTGTCCGTCGACCGAGGTGGCGGAAAAGGAGCCTTGAGCGACAAAATGTCCGATGTGGAAATCGAGAGTGCAGCAATTCGCTCGGTTGGAGACATCATCGCCAACTTGATGGAGTCTGCAGAATCATCGGAGCTGGGAGTGGACTCTAACGCCGTGGTGTGCAAGTACAAGCCAGCACCAGAGTATGCAATTGAGAGAGGCCGGCTTCTGATGGGCAACATTGGGAGCACAAGCTTCTTTGAAGAGAACACGGATGGTTTCTATAGCGCCCCCAGCAGGATTGCCCGCGACCCTAGGTTTCGACCAGCCGGAAAGGAAGCTATCAAGGCGAAGTCAGAAGAGGAATGGAAACTCCGACACGACATGTATGGGAGAAGAAGGATGTAGACACTGAAGAGGAGGTTCTTTGAGGTTGTGGACGAAGTGGTCAAAGTGGCTGAATATCGGATAGGGGATGAGATGGATTCAACAGAATTGAAGTCTGATACATGTACTCGGAATCCATAGAATAGAGCTCTTCGAGCTGTACTCGGTATCTACCTTCAGAGAGAGAGAGAGAGACAGGCAAGCATGACAAGCAGTATTTCGGGATGGCGAGATGAGCCGGTGGCGCGATAATTACATAATCCATCCGTGTCCATCCACACGGAGCCAAGTCTATGACAAGCGCATCTGTGATGCCTGCATCGGATCTAGGAAAAGCCTAGGCAAGCCAGGCAAATGTGCTCGCGTCAACCATTGCCCACGTTTCCCTCACCAGACCTTCTGTCTCGCCGTCTGGGTTACCATCCCGTCGGTACCTCTTCTCCTATAACTTCCTGCCCTTTTGCTGGCAATATCTCCCTCTAGAGTGTACGCCAGTAATGGCGGCAAGTTTCCTGCGGCCGCAGTTGATGCGCTCGTCCAAAGCTGCCTTCGAGTGCGCATTTTGTGCCCATCGCCGCTCCACCCAATTCGCTAGACTACGATGTCCTCGCTCATTACGTCCGCCTCTGTCGAGATTGTACGCAACCGTGTCCCCCGGTGATCCCAAGCCACCTCCAGAAGATCCAGAAAAGCAGAAGAAGCAGCAGCCTGAGAATGCTGAAAAGGCCGAGAAGCCGGCAAATGGGTCTGGAAAAGAGGATGCAAATGGCGATGCTGCGTCAAAGGAGGCCAGCACACAAGAGTTTTCTCCCCTCACGCCCGAAGAGATCAAACAGATTGACGATGTCGCGAAAGTGATCAAGACAGGTCTCCCCAAGGCACAAGCTGACGCTGTGGACGAAGCTGCCGAGCTCATGAAAAAAGGCGGAATTCCTAAAGAGCTCCGCGAAGTCCTGGAAGCGCGGCGAAAGGACCCCAGCAAGCGGATCGACCTTGGGACCACGGTGCGTCTTGTGGGACTCTTTACCAAGATGTCACGCATGACCCCAGAAGAGGTTCGACAAAAGTACGGCAAGAACGAGACATCGGATGAAACACCTCTATTCGAGCAGTCAAACAAGAGCGAGGAGCATAATAAACAACGCAAAGAAAAGCAAAAGCAGCAGCAACAACAACAGGGCGGACCTAGAGTGTACGAGTTCAAACTGGACGCCAGCACAATGATAATGACTGCCTTTATTACCTACTACTTGTACCGTAGCCTGTACCCTGGCGAGACAAGTCGAGAAATCACATGGCAGGAATTCAGGACGACATTCTTCGACAAAGGCCTCGTCAACAAGCTCACCGTTATTAACCGAAACCGGGTCCGAGTCGAATTACATCGTTCCGCTGTGGCCCAGAGATACCCAGAGTCACCCGCTTCTCAACCGAACTTCTACTACTACTTTTCGATCGGTTCAGTGGAGGCCTTTGAGAGACATTTGGACGAGGCACAACAAGAATTGGGCATCCCCACGAATGAGAGAATCCCTGTGGCCTATTCCGACGAAGTTCCGTTGAGCGCCGCCATCTTCTCCTTCGGCCCGACACTTCTATTCGTGGGCGCTCTGTTCTGGCTGTCGCGAAGGGCTGCATCTGGTGCGGGTGGTCAGAGTGGAATCTTTGGCATTGGCAAGTCAAGGGCCAAACGGTTCAACCATGAGACTGATATTAAGACCAAATTCACCGACGTTGCTGGCATGGACGAGGCCAAGCTGGAAATCATGGAATTCGTCTCCTTCTTGAAAGATCCTTCGAAATACCAGAGATTGGGAGCAAAGATCCCTCGAGGGGCCATTTTGTCTGGCCCTCCAGGTACTGGTAAGACGCTGTTGGCTAAGGCGACTGCTGGTGAATCTGGGGTACCGTTCTTCTCTGTCTCAGGCTCCGAATTCGTCGAAATGTTTGTTGGTGTCGGCCCATCTCGAGTACGGGACCTGTTTGCCAACGCCCGAAAGAGTGCGCCGTGCATCATCTTCATTGACGAAATCGACGCCATCGGTAAATCAAGAGCGAAGCAGAACTTTGGTGGTGGCAACGATGAGAGGGAGTCGACCCTCAATCAGATTTTGACCGAGATGGACGGCTTCAACACTTCCGAACAAGTCGTCGTTCTTGCTGGTACGAATCGACCCGATGTTCTCGACAAGGCTTTGATGCGTCCGGGTCGTTTTGATCGACACATTGTAATCGACAGACCAACCATGGACGGTCGCAGGCAAATATTCAAGGTCCATCTCCGGAAGATCGTTACACACGTTGACATGGAATACCTTACCGGTCGTCTGGCGGCTTTGACACCGGGATTCTCAGGCGCAGATATTGCCAACTGTGTCAATGAGGCTGCCCTCATCGCTGCTCGCTCGAATGCTGCATCGGTCGAAATGCTTCATTTCGAACAGGCCATCGAACGTGTCGTTGGCGGTCTCGAGAAAAAGTCGTTGGTTTTGACGCCAGAAGAGAAGAAAACCGTCGCGTACCACGAGGCTGGCCATGCCATTTGCGGCTGGTACTTCAAGTACGCCGATCCCCTTCTCAAAGTGTCCATCATTCCTAGAGGCCAAGGGGCTCTGGGATACGCCCAATACCTGCCGGCTGGAGGTGGAGATGTCTATCTTCTGAACGTCAAGCAATTGATGGATCGCATGGCCATGACCTTGGGCGGTCGCGTCAGCGAGGAAATCTGGTTTGATACGGTCACCAGTGGCGCATCCGATGATTTCAACAAGGTCACACGGATGGCGACGGCCATGGTCACGGAATGGGGCATGTCTCCTAAGATCGGATACTTGCACTATCGCGACGACGAGCAACGGCTCCACAAACCATTCTCGGAAGAAACGGCTCGGAATATTGATACTGAAGTCCGGCGGATTGTGGATGAGGCATACAAGCAATGCAAAGATCTCCTGCTTGAGAAGAAGGATCAGTTGCAGGCGGTGGCAGAGGAGCTGTTGAAGAAAGAAATGCTTGTTCGGGATGACTTGGTGCGGATACTGGGACCCAGACCGTTTGAGGATCCGGGCGACTTTTCGAAATACTTCAACAATGAGCACGGACAGAAGAGTGCACCGTAAGTCATGGCCTTCCATTCATTGTTGGATATGTTGTTTAACCCCGGTGTCTACTGGAGATGATACTGATTTGCTTCGTGTTTTTATCAGCCCACCACCTCCTACGGAGCAAGCAGGTCCTTCAGGGGACATTCCAGAACAACCAGCACCCGCATTCAAGTCCCTCTCCAGATGACCGACATCTCTCTGGGGATGCCAGTCCAGTCTTTCCCTTTGTTGATGGTCGAAGACTGCAAACAAGGTCACGATTCGAGGAGGCTTCCATCGAGGTTTCTCGAGCATCGTTCGTCTCTCCCTCCACCAGTCAAGCCAGCATCGAGGACAAGCACGAGAATCTCCCATGACGCCAATCTCCACCATGGATCCCAATCCTCACATCACAGCATCTTCAGCCATGAGAAGCCCCAAGTCATTTTGGCTATGGCCCAGCTGGCTAACCAGCGCCTGTCGCCATACTTAGATATGCATATTAGAGGGGAAGGGATGAAGACGTGATTCTATCCCATGTACATATAGGTTACAAAAAGGGTGGGGGGGTTTGGGAGGCTCTTTTTGTTTTGATCGCACCTGGCCAGGCCCTCTCTCCCTCTCTTCACAGACAGACCGACAGCTCTTTCTGCTCACGATAGAGCGGTAGAGGTATTCGTCGCGTGGTAGAGCGGTAGAGCGATACCCAAAATCCCCACACATACTCCTCTTTGTTCTTCCAATCTGTGGCGATCCTTTTTCTTTTCCTTGGCTTTTGTATTGGCTTTGATATCTCGGGCGCAGGATGCAGTACGTACGACATAGTAGATCCAGTAGTTTGTGTGTCTCTCTCTGTCCGCCTATCGTCTATCCATCTCTGAGAGTATGCGTCCCTGTGAGTGTCAGTGTGAGTGTGAGTGTGGAAAAGAGGGGAGAAGGGAGACGGGGAAAGAAACGAGAAAAGAAACAGAACGAGCTCTTTTCTTAACAAGAAAGACAACAAGATCGATTCATTGAGAACATGCTGAATTAACTTTTTTTTTTCCTTTCTTCATCTGTATATCTTCATCCATCCATCTCCCTTGTCCTCTCCAAGGAGTTTCTGCCGCTGTCAGGTGCTCAATTCCTATCTATTTTATTCCTCGCCAAAACCCGCTTCGCCCAAATCCACGCGTCCGACGCTCCAAACCTCGCGCTCGTCTTCCTCTTCGTCCGAACTGAGGCCTAGCCCACCCTTGACGCCGCCTTCGGCCTCCCTCCTCTCGCGCGCCTGGCTTCCCAGCCGGAGGGCCACGCGTTTGAAGTAATCTCCCATGGCCCTGGTGGGGCCCACTCCCAGGGCCTTGCCGCCGTCGTCCGAGGCCATGTACTGGTCGAAGATGGCGGCTTCCTCGTCCACCACGTTGAAGAGTTCCAGGAATGCGGCTTCGGCGGCCAACTTGACCGGGATGACCACGTCTCTGACCGACGCAAACACCGGGGGAACCAGGATCGCCAGCAGTTGGTGGTCCTCGCGCAGGCTGTTGCCGTGGTGCCGGAAGACCGTGCGGATGACCACCAGTGCAAGGCGGCGCGAGTCGATGTCACCTCCTGGTGGGATTATCGAGGCCAGTGCTTCCAACAAGGGTCTGCACGTTTCTTCGATCTGGGCGTCGGATGATATTTCGTGCACTGAGAGGAGATATTTCCCCACAGCGAGAACGGCGTTTTGCTGCACAAACGTGCCACTCTTCCCAGCGAGCCCGTTGACAAGGACGTTCCTTGTATCTTCTGCATAAACCGGATTTCCAGTCAATGCCGCTGCACTTTCCAGGAGAACGGCGTTCAGCGCGAGAATCGATGCATTCGTCGATGGTTGCACAAGGACGCGAGTCTTGATCAGAGTCGCTGCTTTCTCCGCAGGAAGAACTTTGATCATGGCCCCCAGGAGACGAGCATTGGTCATCATCATATTATCGTCCTGGATGTCAAGTTGGCTGTCCATCAGTCCCAGGATGGATTCGCGAGACCCATCCGACATGTTCGATCCGACCTTGCTGACGACCTCCTGTAGTGCTTTTAACATGGCATTGCGAACTCCAGCGTCTGGGGTCTTTGCACCAGTGACGAGTTCGGCGATCAAGGGGTCGACGCGTGGTGTTAACGTGATCAGCGTACTGAGTGCCTTTGTTGCTCGTGTCCGAAGAACGTCGCTTGTTGGGTCGGCAATCGATTTTGTGAATGTTCTCTGCAACTGAGGCAGGAATGGACGCAAGAAAGTGGGGATTTTCTCGAGAAGCAGGATGAGAGTCGATAGAATGGCGCATTTGACATCCATTGATCTCTCCCCGACAACACGGATGAGTGGACCTGTGATTTGCGTAACAAAAGGTTTCAATCCGTCAGGGTTGGACCGTTCAATGATGTCCGATATGCCCATGGCAGCCTGGACCCGTTGCTCGGTTGTACCATTCATCAACCCTTGCAAGAAGATTTGGAGGACAGGAAGGATACCCTTGGGCAGCGCGAAACCAGGTAGCACAGATCCCGCAGTGCCAGCCTGCTGGAGGACTTGACGAGTGGAGGTGACCAGTGCCTCCATTTCTTCCTTGCGCAAATGAGATTGCAGCTGATTCAGCGCCGACCAAGCGGCCTTGACGACCTCTTGGTCTCTATCGCCGAAGGAGATCAGGAGGGCACGGATGAGATCTTGATTGTAGCGCGAATAGTCGACCACAGGATTGGCGAAGAAGGTCGCCAGGTGAGTTGCAGCGAGTGCACGTCTTCTGTGATCGTCATGCTTGATCATAGTCAACATGACGCTCATGGCGGTATTGAGGCCATCGAATTCGTCGATAGAAGACAAGGTCGCGTCGAAGGCCTCGTTCAGTTCTCCCACGAGTTCCTCATCTTTGCACATAACCAGGTTGTCTGCAAGACTGTTCAGGATTGTAGGCAGCCTGCGAGTCATGCTCGCACCTCCGACTTTAGCCAAAGACGCCAGAGCTCGAGCATTGAACGCCGAGATGGGGTTAGTGAGGAGGGTCGGGATCAAATTGGGCAGGATGACATTGGCTCTCGTGGCTTCGGTCAGCAACGTGAGCAAGGCGGACAGTGCATGTTCAGCCTCCGTGTCACTTCGCAACAGGTTCAGGAGATGCGGCAACACCTGATCCACCGCTCGTTTGCCAAACGTCTGTTGGAGCGAGTCGAACGATTCTGCGGCCGCCTCGCGCACTTCAGGGTCGGAATCTGTCAGTGCCAACCGGACAATGGAGATCAACTTCTTTTCGTGCTCCTCCAAGGACTCGGGTGTAGCGGCGTTGACAATCTCTCGCAGAGCAATACAGATGCCTTGTCGTTTGTCTGGGTCGGTGGCAGTCTGAAGGCCTTCCTCAAGCGAGGGAAGCAATGAAGCAAAGATACCTTCCCCAGCCTTTCGAATCACTTCTCCCAGAGCGTTGGCGGCAATAAACTTGTGCTCCATGTTGGATGAGGCAAGGCGAGCAATAATCATCTGGGAAAGCGTAGGCACAAGCTCGCGTAGTGTTCTCGGTGTTGCAACAAGTGCTTTCCACACAGCAATGGCCGCAGCTCGAACCTGGGCAGAAGAGTCGCAGCGGCAAATGTAGAGAGACGATAGAACCCGGTTGCGTCTTTCTTCTCCCAAGACTTCAAGCAAAGATTGTCCTGCTTGTGTGGCGGCTTCGCCTTCCTCTTCAGCTTCTGTTTGAGCACTGATTCCGGTAAGATTGAAGAGGAGATCTCCAACCAGCTCGACTGAACTGAGACGGATCCGATAGCTGTCGTCGGCCAGCCCACGCTGCAGTTCTGGCAATAAGAGATCTATGGCTTTGGTAGCAAAGTTCTTCACAAGCAACCTGCCCGCCCTAAGAGCAGTTTCACGAATCGCTTCAACATCGTCGGCCAACCCACTAAGGATAGACGGGATGATCTGAGCAAGATAATTCGCAAAGCTGTTGCCGAAACATGCCGGCAAGAAGATGAACAAAGTCATGAATCCCTCTCGTACGGTCGGGCGTGTGCTGGCGACGTTCTGTAGGATAGATGGCAAAGTCTCTTCAAGACGAGCAGTGCCCAAGCCGGCAAGGACTTCGCTGAGAGCTTGTGCTGACCCGAGACGATCACTGGCACCAGTATCGGTGCGAAGCGACGACATCAAGCTTGGTATTAGATCTGGGAAGGCATCCTCGCCCAATTTCTCCACAAGGCTACCCAGAGCTTTCGAAGCAGTTGCTCGAGTCGCAGGTACTGGATCGACAGCCGCAAGACGTAGGCCTGTGACCAGAATGGGCAGGTGAGTGACAATGTCGCGTTTCTCGGTGAGATGTGCCAGGCTCCCTATGATCTGGGCAGCTTTGCGTTTGGTTGCCGATCGATCATTGAGTCCGCGTTCTAGAATCCTCACAACAAGGGCGAGTGACGGCGCGTCGAGATAGTGGATGAAATGAACCTTGATCAATCCGTCCAGGGCTTCCTCTGTGTATTTGGTTGGGTCGCTCAGTGCTTTGAGGAGAATGTCGACGAGGCTCTTGACCTCTGGATTCGTGATAACTTCGCCGAATCGTTTGAGACTGCTATTGGCAGCAGCCCGAACCTCTTTATGACTGTCCGTCAGGACCGAGGTCAACGGAGGAATGATTTCTGGCAAACTCGTCGCGAGCTGTTGTGGATCAAGGTAAGCCATGGCACCGAGAAGGTCACAGGCTCCTTTCTTGCTTCGCCACTGGGTCTCATTCAGCCCTTCCAGTAATTCAGGCAGAACGCGACGCACGCCAAAGGAGCTCAGGCTGGCAAAGCACGTCTTTGCCGTGTCCAGGCAGGCTTCGCGGACGGATGCAACAGGGTCGCCGAAGCAAGTCAGCAACTGGGGAAGAACCTCGATCACATATGGCTCAAAGGTTCGGCCGAGCAGCAAGGACAATAGTTCGTATGCCATCATGGCTCCCTGTCGCTCTTCAGGGCTCTTTTTATTCTCACTCGCACTTCTCAATGCGACCATTACCCTGTGCTGCCGCAACGCAGCTACACCTTTGCCCTTGACCACACCTGCAAGTCCGTAGGCTGCTCCTCGGCGCACGGCATATTTTTTAGAGTGGAAAAGCTGGTCCAAGAGAGCCGTGATGTAAGGTCCAGCATCGACCGAGGAAGGGCGGACCAAAGGAGGCAAGCAGTTGGCAACAGCATATTGTACGGACTCGGATGGTGTGCTGAGGGTGTCAAGAAGCTTCTGTATGACATTCCCTGTCCGCTTGTCGCCGTCGGGAAGATGCCTTGCTAGAGACCCATAGAGAACGATAACGGCTTCATTGACCCAATCTGATTCTTCGGTCCCTTTATCAGGCCCTTGTAGCACTTTTTCGAATAGCCCCATGAGAGGTTCTAGGCAATCTTTTCCTCGCGTTGCTACAAAGACCGTGCCTGTCTCGACCATTTCTGCACGAACTGTCGCATTACGATCCGAGAGGGCACCATCAGAAACCAAGAAGTTCATGAAGGGCACCAAAGCAGACTCGCTCAGGACGGAAGAAAGCTCTTTAAAGGCCAGGGCAAGGCCGCTCCGCTTCTCCCACTGATCAACCAGATCTCCCTTTTGCACGATACCGAACTTGTTTCGCTTCGGGACCAATGGTTGAGCTTCGGTGCGATACGACTCTTCAAGCGACGCCAATACTGAATCAACCTTCGAAGGAATCTGAACAAGTGCCTGTGCAAGAGCTCTCGCTGCGGCAGCTCTGGTCGATCGTGCTGATGAGAACAAAAACGAAGGGATACTATCGACCAATTCTTCGGTGACAGTGAATTCGAACTCTTCCCAAATTGCCAACGCGGTCTCCGCATTTTCGTCTTCTTCATCCTGACAAGCAATCCATACATGAACGGAGTTGTCAATCTCAGACAGATCAATCTCCGAATGAATTGCCTGCAGAACTGCAGATCGAACAGTCGATTCAGGGAGAGTGACTGCAGAGAGGAGGATATCTCGCTCCTCAGCAGTGGTATTTTCTGACATTGACCGGCAGAAATCAAACAGGCAATCTCTGATGATCCGGTGGTGCTGGTTGTATTTGCGCATTGCACTGATCAAATGGCGCAAAATGTTGGCTCTTGGAAGGTGTTCATCGGCACCGGATCCCATCTGGAAAGAAAGAAATTCGAGGGCAAGGAGGACTTGAGCGTCGGCGTCCTCACCCGTCACATCCCCTATCTTTCCATGCTCGAGGACAGAGAAGATCAGAGGGAGAGCATAAGCGGTGGTGGCAGTGTCAAACGGACGTTGCTCGGCAGCAAATCTCAGTCTATACAAGACTCGTGTCCCGAGCTCTGCGAGAGGTTCCACACAGAGATGCTCTGGAACATTAGCGTTCCGCACAGACCTGAGAGCAGCAACGCCGACGAAAAGACGCATGGTTCCAAGGCGATCCGAGATCTTGTCGGAACAGGCAAGATAAGCTGAGACGATCTCATCCTCAACGATGAGCGCCGCCCCCGCTTCAAGAGATCCCATCAACGCAGTAATAGCTGGAGACATCCAAAGTCCTGCATCCGTGGGCGGACCGTGAGCAAGACTCTCAATAAATCTTGCACCTCTTCTGATCTTGCTTGAGATCAATCTCAATCGAGCACGCGTGGCACTTTCGTGTCTAAGTTGAGCGTCGACTTTGGCCTGTTGGTCTGCGGTCAACTTTTTCTGGGGAGCTCCCTTCTTTTTGGCCAATTGGGCTCGGATTTCTTCTTCCCACTTGAGGACGTCATAGTCTTTCTGGTTCTTGTTGTCAAGGATTCCATTTGTCTGCTGGCCAAGGACGTCGACGACAATAGTGCCTTCAGGGGCTCTAGCAATGAGTGCTTCGGTGGGTCCCACGGCTTCCAATTGCTCAGGGTCGAGATCTTCCCGGAACTGACGAATCAAGGCTGGCGTGAAAGAATCCGGTGCCACGAAGGCCAATGTAGCTGCTGAGTTGCAGGCAGCGATCTCGAAAATGGTCAATGATGCCATCTTGCCCGCCTCAAAATGTGAGAGTATCTCGCGGAAAAGTGGTTCCTGTCGTTCCTTTGCAAGTTCACCTGGATCTACCCCGGTAGCCAGGCAGGTTCCAATCCAGTCGGAGTTGATGATCAGTTCGGGACGTAATAACACCACTGTGGATGTGGCCTGTTTCTTCAGCACCTCAGTTGCCGCATCCTCGGCCATGTTCTCCAGCCTGTCCCTCGGCATGCTTATGCATTTCACTGCCTGAAGCAAACGATTGTCGTTCAGAGATTGTTCGGCCGTCTTACTTAGCTCTAACGCGCGCGATCGAAGCACATCCCAGATACCAAGCACTATGCTGTGGCCGACAGAAGCCGGCTGCTTCGAGTAAGCCTGTGATAACGCAACTCCAGTCTCCTTGCGCACACTGGAGTCGACTTCAGGGGTGAGCAGGAGGTGTAAGACGGCCCTTGCCCATGCAGTTTTGCCTTCATCTGTAGCTTGCTCGAGATGTTGCGTCAGGTTAGTCAACGCATACAGTGCCCACTGGCAGTCTTCTGTAGATGAGAGTCGCGTATAGACCTTTGAATTCAAGAGAAAGGACAATTTCGGTTGAACGGCCAGGCATTGAGTGCTGACTTCATCATACATGCTTGACTTGTACTCATCGGTCCTCAATATTGGTGCACCAAGTACTCCGGGAAGGCCGTACCCAGCAGCAACATAGCCATTCTGGGTCGCTGGAAGAGGATTGAGGGCAACTTCGTCGTGCGCATCCTTCAACGTTTTCAAAGCCGACTTGACGAATTCGCGTGACCCTTGTTCAGAAGGCACCTCTTTGATGCGTCTGATGATGTGTGCAAGACACAAAACCCATAGTTTGCGGAAAGGAAGTCTCTTGTCAACGCAACCCTTGAGAATAGTGTCAGAAAGGGTCTTATTGATCGACGAGGTGGTGACAATAAGTGGCAGATGTGTTGCTAATGCAGCAACTTCTCTCCGTAGTGCCCCTTCGTTGGCTTCCTTCGACGCCACAGGAATGATAGACTCGGCGATGACAGAAGACGTTGCCAGTTCGGGAGCAATCATCGACAGAGCATCGGCCAAAAGGCCACGCAGCTCAAAGCTGCCAGCTTTCGAAGATTTCATCGTGGATCCCAGTTCCGCAGCAATCTTCTGCAGCGCATCTGGAGACCCTCCTCTGCCAACAAGGGCTGACAGACCCTTACCTGCACCATCGCGAATGATGGCATTGGTTGAGTTCAAGGCTGATAGAAGAGGTTTCACAAGCTTCCTTTGGACAAAGCCTGAAATGTCGAGTGCCGGTGGTAGACAAGAAGCCAGGGCCTCTATGGGGCCTTGAAGGATAGCCTCCGGGGACCTCAGGATGGCCTTCTCGATGGCAGGGATCAACACTCCATCGACATCCTGGAGAGTGACAAAGTCGAGGAAGAAATCCTTGAGACCCATACACTGTTGGTATGGCACGGGAGATTTTGAGCCTATGACAGACTTGACATAGAAATCAAGGATCTGCTTTTTCGACTCTTGAAGCTCTTCTCTCCTCTCAGTTATGCGGACACTGACCCCGGCAATTACGCCCACATAAACGGCGTAGCTAGCATTTGCGTCTGAGGAACCTGCAGTGTCTTGTAGGGCGAGCTGCAGTGCCCTGGCCCCGACTTGTTTTGTCTTGAAGACGTCGCGCAACCCTCTCCTTGCGATTATCAAGGCCGACCCTTGTACTCCTCCTCGGACAGATTGGTCTTCGCATTTGTCCAGAAGGCGGGCAGCGGCCGAGCATATTTTCCCAAAGCATTGTCCGAATGACTTCTCATTGAGCCGGATTTCTTGTTGAACCAGACAACACCACTCCAGCAGAACGAATGCATTGCCGGGGGCTATGACCACCTTTTGGCTCTCTTGTAATAGGAATTTGGTGACGGCAGGATAAGCAACGTCGGCGGAAGAGGGAGTCGTGAGATACGTTCGGAGGCACGACTGCACGGCTCTGCGAGACTTTCGATCAAGGTAACGAGGATACGTCCCGAGAAGCGCGGGCAAAAAGGTCAACAACTCTTTTGAGACGGTCTCATCTGCAGCACCGGTGAGATGAGATTGACCGCATGAAACGTGGTTTTGCATGTCGGCCATACCTGCGATTGGAATACTTTGCTGCAATTTGCGCAGTGTTTCGATACGGAGATTTGTCGAACTGCTTCTGAGAGCGGCAAGCCAGGCATCCCGAGTCTCCGGGGAGCCTTGTTCGGCACTGTCCCCCATTGTCCATAAATTGGACGTAGAAGATTGTCTGTTTGCAGAGACAATGAACGGGGTCGAGGGCTGGACTCGAATGAAATTTACCACTTACGACAAAGTGGTCTTGGAGATGATTCGCGCGGGGGAGTCCAAGCTGCAGCCTCGTCCCGCCATGGCATGAATCAGGCTGTGGTATTTGACCAGCTGGCTGCGGTCAAGTCACTTTCCGAACCCTAATGACACTTATCTCGCAGGACAGAGGATGTGACTTGCACTTCTCTTCAAAGACGCATCACTACAAATTAATCCGCCTGCATCACCAGACTCTGCCGTCTATTACTTACTACTCCGGCATCCGTGTCTGCATTCATGAATCTCTTCCTTGGCTCTATGCTTCCGGAACGGCATGTCATCTGTCTGCAGGAACAACCGCCGTCCCAGTCGAGGCTCAAAAACAACGGCAACAGTCGCAATTGCCAATGAGATACGCAGTTCAACCGAGACTATGGGAAACAAAGACCGTAAACCTGAGTGACGTTGGCTCCCGTCAGATATCGGTAGCTGACTGCGATGCCGGACTAAGCGGAGAGAGCCCTGTGGGAAGAACATTGGCTGTATTTGTGCGCGGAAGAAAATGTTTGTGGTGCCTGACGGACAGAAAGCGGATCTAGTCGAGACATTCTCATCTCGTTAGCAAAGACCGGAAATGTGCATCAATGGGGATCTGCAAGGAGGACTGCCGATCTATGGACAGCCAGGTGTCAGATTATGAGAGTCACTGGGTCGTGTTGCAGTTTCAAGCTGTAGATGTAGACCAGAGTCCGTGTCGTGGAGGACGAGCAAAACCCCCAGGATGGACGTCAGTGTGTAGACTCAATATCATCGAGGTCGCCCACAGGGAGACGAGAGGAAGATGCACTCCCTGCTTTTCTTGCTGTAAATATGACCCGGCTCCTTGTTAAAGCAAGATGAAAGCTGGTGACTGTGTGCTGGGTCAAGGCCGGCCGATCAGTCTTGGATGTCCACTGACTCGAGATACATGTATGCACCGAGCACCGAGCACCTCGTACCTCGTACCTGCACGATAATAGTAATGCGAGGCAACGTGTCGTGACAAATTTGTGCATTTCCTAATTCACTGTTCAGTTCGAGCCGTCGCTCAAGGACGGCTCTGCGCATTGCACGGCCCTCGGACCCAGAACCTTTCGCAATGCTGATTGTGAATTACATTTGTTCAAGCCGGGGAATCCGGGTCATGTGGCAGTTGTATCGTGAGGGCCACGAAGAGTCTTGTATGGGCAGAGTATGCTCACGACAAACGCAGCTCCTCTTATACATCCCTAGCTTTTTCCATCAAAGTTTTTTGATCCATGCAGATCAATGCCGGTGCGTCTCCCTCAGGCCAAGGGCGACTACCCTTTAGACGGTAGGTCAAGCAATTTACCGAGTCCTGGACGATGCATTCCTAACGAATTGAGTTTTGGTAGTGATCTGGGGTGTCGGGCAGATTTAACGAGCTTCGGAGATTTTTCAGTGATCAGGGGAGGCGTTGAGCCTTGTTGCAGGGGTCAACCTGGGGAAGCAATTAGGATGTGATGCGAAGGATTGAGTCCTTGATCGACACTGGATAAGATCACCGCGCAAGAGGTCCGAAATTCGGGTGGAACAGGTACGAGTACTCGGTGTGGGTAGTGAAAAGAAATACCTTTGAGGTGGTCGATATGTTTGCGGATGACAAGCACCAGCAACAGTGAGAGAGAACGTGAGTAGGTTGCTCGTGTGTGTGAGCCACTATCCAAAGTTTGACTTCTGGGCGCCACTTCAGGTGCTCAGGGCACGTCCCGGTTTGGTAAGACCCTCTAACCATGAATGGGAAAGGCCTAGCTGCACGTCCTTCGACCGGCCTAGCGCCCCAAGACTGGGCCAGCCCTGGCCTTAAGCCTCAAGACTCGTGCCCTCCCGGTGCTGGCTCCCAACTGCTCCCTCTGATTTGCCAGCCTCAGTGGTTTGTTCCTGGAACCCACATGGGCTTACTAGGCTCGCTTAAGCCCGACTCGCAGTGAGCTGCACGCTCGCCGGTGGCGCTTGTGCATGGTCCGGCCTCGTCTTGGGCTTCGGTAACTTGGTTGGTCTCCTCTGGCACTTTCCTCTTTCTCCTCGATTCAATCTCTCTTCAATTTGCGCCGCCAATCACTTGGTCCATCGACACTCTCAAGTTGCATGCTTCTTTTCATCACCCGAAGTCCCATCCTCGCTAGGTCGTCCTTCACGCTCCTAACGGCTGCGTTCGGGGTCAGATAGGCCAGCTGCTAACCTCAGATCTCACTGGTCAAACAGCCAGTCTCGTGGATGACAGGATGGCTGGCCTCGGACCCCTTTGCTGAGTGTGCTGGATGTTCCCACCACCTCCCACCACCCTCCAGGACCGTGGCCCACTCACACAGATCGTCTTCCCAAGGTCAGCTCGAAGCTGAAACCTCGCGCTGACTGCCATCCATCATTCGCAGGTCGGGGTACTCATGGCCTGCGTGCGAGTAATAAGAACATCGTTGTTTGCGAGACCTCCTTATCTTGCCCTGGCCGTATCTGGCTGAAGCTCCTTCTGTTCCCTCTTTGTTCTGTACCAGTCAGTTCTGTACATCAAGCCGCGTCCCGCAGGTTTCACAAGTTCCGGGTGCTCTTCTCGCATATTAAATCTTTGACGCAGGCTTCCGAGGCAGAAGACAAATTTCGAAAACCGTTTTCCGAGGCGATAATATGCTGTAAGACAAAAAGAACGCAAAACATCCTCCAGCCTTGGCGACCAGCAGACGATCAGATTACCGATTCGACCCAGAGGCTGCTTTCACAGTCTCCTCCGCATTACCTTCCGATTCAGTCGAGATATCAAACCTTCCAGTCGCAATGAGTAAAAAACTTGGACTCCAGACGGACGCTCAGGTAGGTATCTCGGGCGAGCGAAGTGAGTCGATCAAACACTGACCTCTCTACAGGCTTTGATACCGAAGAAGTATCGGGGCGACGATGACGATCCACACTTCATTCCTGACTCACCTCTCATCGACCGACAGGCCCTGACTGCACAAGAAGAGGGGGAGCTGAAGCGCATATGCGCCTTGGTATTGGCCAATGTACCACATTCTGACGACATGTCGGATGACCCTCTTAAATACATCGCTGCTCAGATTCAAGAAGGCAAAGCAGCACAGCCGAAGCCCAGTGCGAAACGCGAACGGAAACTCGACCCTGCTCACAATGTTGAAACTACCGCTAGCGTGACACACCAATTCCTCGACATACAAGACGACTCCGCGACATCCTCGGAAGTTTCTCATCGCGGTACCATAACTGCCACTGACTATTCAACGCCCTTGACCAGCGCCGGTATAACCCCTGGCGAGACAGCGCGACGTTTCTCCGACGCCGCCCGGAAGTCCGTTAATAGCACCAAGAAGCCTGGCAGCAGCCTCCGAAATGAGTCAACCACGGTGGCAACTAAGAGCCGAACGACCTCTTCAGGTGGCGTCCACAAATCGATGGAAGCGAGCAAGCCTTCTGCCGAAGCGGAAGCAATCAGAAAGACGCTGCGAGTCGTAACAGACGGATCATCACGACCCCAAAGTGGCAGCGGGAAATCAATGGAGCAGCCTCGTCCTGTCAGATTTTCGGCTCTAGACTTGAACAAAAGCCTTCCGCCCCCTCCGCCTGAATCTCCGCCTCCCGAGGAACAGAACCAACCCCATATCAGCAGATTGATGAAAACCATTCGCAAAAAGAAGAGTATGACGAAGGAAGTCAGGAGTTTTTCGACTGGATCGGTACCTCCAATGCCCTCGACCGATTCGCCGAGAACTCCATATCTCCACTCGTCGACGACAACACCTGTAACAGAGAATCCAGCTGTGACAGCTCAAGAACCTCCAAGAAAGAAATTCAGAATACCTCTTTTCCACAGGAGACAACGACCGGCAGATGTCCTGGTTACTTAAATATGCTCCTCAACTCGGACATAATTCCGCTTTTGTTTTCGGGTTTGCAATTCGGCACAGTACAACCCACACACTCATTCTTTGATGACACCAGCAGCGTAGGCGTTCAGGACATTGACGCCGGGAGACGTCTAACTGATCTTCCTTTCTCAAGGAGGGCACCATCGTTTCAATACAATGTATTCTTTTTTCATCACACACGACGTTTTGTCATAACACTCGACGACCTTTTCATTTTATGTGCAACAAAGCTTTGGAGGACTTATGGGTGTTGATCTGTTTCCGAAAGAGATTCTCTCATGTTATTGCTATGGGCGGCCAGCTTGTTATGCAGCGACGAGGGAGGGTAACAGATGAGGTAGTGAGGGTGTGTATGGGCACAAATCGAGGACACTGCGCGTGTGGGTGTGTACACGGAAGGGTTACATACTACTGAAAGAATACGGAATCAGTACACTCAGGAGACCAGGCAACTCATAGCAAAGGGAAAAGTAATCTGGTCACTGACAGATAAGACGAAAATATACAGAATATGTGGCCACTGGCCTCATAATTGACTGCGAGAGATTCAAAGCCCTCAATTTCACATGGTTCAACAAGGAGCTCAAGCCGCCATCATCGAGACTGGGAGCTCAGCATGTTCCATGCCGCAGGGTCATTCGTCTTGGTCCTCGAGTTCTTTCGGTGTCTAATCATTTCCCGCGCCTGACATGATACCGAGTACAATACCTGGTACTTACATAGTAGAGGTATATCTAATGAATCCTTGAGCTCGTGCCTCCCCTCGAATTTTTATTGGCAACGCCATCGCTATGCATTGTGTACGAAAAGGACGCATCTATTCGTTCATGACCCATTGCTGTAGGACGATAAAGGGCCTGGCTTAGACACCCCCAAGGCAACCCCTGGCGATAGAAAATTCCCCGTCGTCTCGGTGTTCCTGCAAAGAGATTACCTCTGGAAAACAAAAGGTTGCCTGGCAACCTGGACTGGATCACTTAAACCATAGCCGACGCCCCAGCACTGCTCACTCCGCCAAACCCAGGAAACAGGTCGCTTTCGTCCATGCTTGTGAGGCCACTTTGTGCACCGGGCCCTGTCCCGCCTCCTGTGCCGCCTCCGCCTGCACCTGCACCCTTCGCCCCTCCGGACCCTTGATGCTTGCCTTTGGGACTACTCTTGTTCGCCTCCACGGTGACGGCTTTGCGACCAAGTTCGGAAAGTGCCTGGATGTCTTGACCGAGCAGGGCGAGGAGGCTGACGAGAGAAACATCGTTGGATTGCGCCAGGGAAGCAGATGTCAAAGGGTGTTCTTGGGATGATTCTGTGGCCGGGGTGAGCAGGGAGAGGCGTGTGAGCAGAGCTTGGATGTTGCGTAAGTGAGGGAGTTGCGATGGGTCCGGTGTTGTCGGCGTCAGTCGTAGACTTTCCGTGCCAGTGCTTGGAGCAGAGACATATGAGGGTGGAAGGGACTGGATGAAGCTGCTCAGGAGTTGAAGACGTGACTGCAGCATCCTTACACCGTTGAGCCGGGTCGTTATATTGGCGATCTGGTCTTCTTCTTCCGGATTGAGCGCCTTCAGTGGTTTCTCTGCGCTACCTGTTTCCAACATGTCGGGAGTGTCTGGTTGTGGGTCTGCTCGCTTCTTGCCCTTTCTGTCAGTCTGAGGAAGTTCAGATGACTTTGGAGTAGGCTCCTCGGACACCGCATCATCGATTGCCGTTGCACCACCTGCGCCCTTGGCGACATAATCTATTGCAATCATTTCCGTCTCGTCTGTCTCGATCGTGTACGGTATTTGGCGGAACTTTATGCCGGATGGCTCTTCTCTGTCAATCTGCATTGATCCCTCTTCTCCGTCGGGTTGCATTGTCCCATCATCCCTGGGCTGTTCACGGTCGTCGACACTCTCATAAATCGTGATGGGCAGTTTTCCTTCTCCAGAATCTCCGGATTGGATTGCTTCAGGGTGCAAGGCCAAGAGAATGGCGTTTTCATTGCAGCAATCGGTCGCCTGTTCCTGTAGGGGTACGAATTCGGGCATAGGTCCTTCAGGTGAACAAAGCGTGAACCAGCCGACGAAAACCAGGGCGGGGGATTTGTGGACCGCAACATCTTCTAGACATTAGTCGACGTACTCCAGGAACACCTTGGCCGTAACTCACATTGTTGGATCCTCGAGTCCAGCCACGCAATGTCAAACTGCCATTGTCCTTCGGGACTTCTCACTAAGACGGCAGGAAAAGCATGTTCCACTGTAATTTCCCTACCCTTATGCTGCCCAAGAAGCCCTCCCGCCACGGGGCCTGTCTGTTTTCGCAGCGAATGTCTTGTGACTTGGTCCGATATTGTGAGGAGAACAAGTGGATGGAGAGAGACGGTGAGGTCACTTTCGGAGGGCTTCGAAGACAGGAGAGGATTGTCCGAAGGTTCAGCCATATTAGGAATCACAGGAATGGCCGCGATATGGGGGACGAGAGATAGAGACTGGGTTGTCGAGGTGAGCCTGTTCGACACTTGGACAGATGCGGAGCCTCAGTCGGAGATGGAATCATAGACGGCGACCTGGAGAAGCAATGCGGGCAGCCTTGGCGACATTTTGTCTTGCGACTTTTGGTGGTTGGCGGGGCAGGCCGAACGAGGGGACGAGACAAGGCTACCAGAGGGATTCGTAACGCTCGCCTTTAATTACTGCTTGGATGGCTATGCCTTCTACTTCTCCTTTCTCTGACGACTGTCCTGTAACCTGCTAATAATGGATGCCCTGGTCGAGGACTCTGACAAACTCTTTCCAGAAGTCTTTGCGCATCTCGCCGCAGTTGAAGGGCAACCAGGATTGGCTTTAGACGAGGAACTTCTGAAACGTGCCGAACGAAACCTAACTCCTACTTCACCGAAAGACTTATTATGGCGGGTGCTAGGCACGGGTGAACAGCTATTGCAGACGCTGCAACAAGACCCTCGACCGCTTACTCGACTGCTCGAACAAGTCATCTCGCTACTCCCCTTCGACGAGCTGAGATCCACTATATCCGCGGAGAAGCTCCAAGAAGGCCTGAGTTCGCCATCAGTCTCGATACAATTGCTTTGTCTAGCATATCTGCGGAAGGCTGCGGACTCGCCCAGCGGCGCCTCCTTTGTTGCGACGAGTTCAAGTCTTGTTCAATGTCAGTTCACAATCTGGCTGTCGTCTGAGAGCACCGAGGTTGCGGAACGTTCATTGGAGGTGATCGAAGCGTTGCTTGCCATCGACAGTCAAAATAGCACCACGGTACTATCTGCAGGCCGCAGCTACGCCGAAGCACAAGGGCAAGGCTTGCTTTGGCGTAGAATATTCCATGATCCTGATGTGTACACAATCCTCTTCGAATGGACATCACTAACGAAATCGAAACGAGACGTCAAAACAAAGAAAGGCATGCAACTCGTCACAATTTCCCAAGCACGCTTATTCGACTTCATTGCGAGAGTGGCACCTTACGACTGGACAGCGGTAACAACTTCTTCATTGGCCCAGATTGAGGCCGAATTCCTGAGAGACAACGGTGGCAGTGAGCCATTTGGTGGTATCCTTCGATATGCTGCCTCTCATATGATTGACCAAAAAGACATCCTGATGGAGGTGTTGCGCCAAGATTTCTTTGTCAAGTTACTGGGAGTGGTGGAAGAGAGCAACAGGCAGGATGTATCTCCCCAGCTACTGGAGGCGATTCAACAGGGTGCTGGGATTACCTCAACGAGGGAGGGAGACAATGGCGGCCTCCACCGCTAAATTTGAGCTTGTACTAGAAAAGTCTCGGGTCTGTCTAGGCATTGCTGGCTTGAAATGCGATATGATGTTGTTCATTGCTGGCAGTCTCGTCGCTGCGATTTCACACGCTTGAATGGTGGTTGTTGTCGAGTGTGCTGTACTCTAAAGAATAAACCTCTGCATTAGTTGCCACTTGATAAACATGTACGATAATCTCTTATAGAGTCGCTTTAATGGGGTCCATGTAATAGCGTGTCTACCTCTAGAAGGCCTGATGTCTTGATGACGTTCGCTTGACCTTCCATAATTCTGACGAGGCTGCAGCCTTGCAGAGAACCCACCCAGAAGTTTTACCTCCGATCCACCGCAGGTCAATGCGATTCAAGACGTTCGCTTTTGCCATGTATTCCTTGTCGTGTATCGTTTGACGGCGATGGTTGGGAGTCCTCCGGGGGTATCTGTGTTGCTTTCAATCAGTTCTACAGTGGCATTCGACTAAAACTATGGCTACTTTCTCCACTGCAGCCCGACCTCTGCTTCGACTAAGAACCCTGCGATCATGTGTCCCCCATCGCTTCGCGACTTCCTCTTCGTCAGCCAACACCACCAGCTCCAAGCGAGTCCCTAAAATCTCTCCTCAGAGCTCCATATCAAAAGCGAGCATTCCCAATCCGAAGGGGCCCTCGACGCCTTCGACCAAGGGTCAACAACCTAGCATACCATTACTAGGAGGGCCAGCTTCGCAGTTTATCAGAGAGCTGCCTCCAGAACTAGCGAGAAAACAATGGTACGCGCAAAAGCTATACGAGGCAGGGCAAACAGCCATATACAGGCCCCCTTCTCATTTTGGCATCTACGCCGCCTCATTTATCATGGGAAGTAGTGCTATTGGAATTGCTGGTCTTCTTGCCTACAGCAATATCTGGGCTTGGGAAGGTGACTCTGATCTGCCATGGTTTGTACCAGTCGCACATCGATTAGGCATTTTTGTCTTCTCGGCCGTGGGCTGGCTCATTATGATGCGATCAATAAGATTCATCAAAGCCATCGATCTGGTACCGGTCAATGGGGTCGTGAAGATGGCAGTGCAGGTACGCCGACCGCTACCTTTTCTGAAGCCGAAGGAATTTCTCATCGAGCCTTACCGCTTTCAAATGACCCAAAAGTTTGTGCAACAATTGGAGGAACCTGCTTTTATGAGGGATCCTGTAGGGGCATCGTCTTCGACAAACAAAACTTCGACGGGATTCGCATCAAGTTTTGGGCGAGCTATCAGCAAAGCAATCTATTATCCTTTTGCATCAACAAGAAGGTTGATGACGCTTGAAGGTATTATGTTTGTCAACTTTGAGGGCAGCCGTGGCAAGATGAAGCTGGACACACATGGCCTTTTTTCCAATGGAGCAAAGGATCTTATCGAAATGGGCACCATAAGTCCCTGATCGCCTTGGGCGCCATGTTTATCGAAGAAACTTTCGTCGATCTCCTTGAACATTTGCCTCAGGATATCCTCGGACCCGACCTGCAGCAGATGCAGGTCGGATTTCCGGACACCCATGTGACGGTCAGAAAGCCTTTGGCTCGGCTCTTTCGGCAGATCGTGCACGGCCCTTAGAAACCAAAGGTCATCAAGCGATGAAACCCATGACGGATATCGGCCACGTACCGCGTGCGACGAAGAAGCTTTTGTACTGACGACTGATCTTTTTCGAGGCCAGCTGTATTATCATTAGACTGTACAATACCCGGAAAATTCTCACATATCTTTCTGACGGGACATACTCGGAAGGCGCTCGCTTGTCGGCGAGCCGATCAACTACTCCTAAAGCCTCTTCCAATCATTCTGTCATCTATAATCGGTTCTTCTGGTCCTTCATGCCCTCGAAGGCTTGCTAGTATTAAGCGCACAAGCCCTCGTGCTATATGCCCCTCTCTTGCGGACTGGGCAGCGACGCAGACCCTGTCGTCTCTCCCACGTGTATCGAAGAGGATATGCTTTAGAAAGGTGACATGCAATGGGATACGAGGTGGCTCTTCGATGGAACAGTTTAAAGGGGGAAAGGTGTATACTCCGGACATAGGGCAACCGGGAAAAATTCTTTCAAGCAGTATGCTGTGTGGCTTCAGAACGTCTCTATCAAGTCGCCCACGATCTAATCCCCTGCCTCTATAGAAATGCCAGAAATGCCCAGTGAATTCGCCCCTTCGCTCCATTGCTGGCCAGAAACATATCCGCCGCGTACGCTCATTCGCTCATTGTATTGCCATCCTCTCCCATTCTGCGCCGGTCTACCAATGCACGTTGTTTACCGGGGCCGCAGCAGGTGGCCCTTCGCCTGTCACATACGCTCTAGTCAACCCACCATCCACCACAAACTCGGTCGCATTGACGAAGCTGCTCTCATCGCTGGCCAGGAACAGGACAGCCTGGGCCTGCTCGATCGCCTCTCCGAAGCGACCCATGGGAAAGTGCACCTCTCGTCTGTGCCTCTTTTGCAAGTCATCGCCCAGCCAATCCTGCAGCAAGGGCGTGTTCAACGGCCCAGGGCAGAGGGAATTGAATCTGATGTTCTCGCGGGCGTGGACGATTGCGAGTTCGCGCGTCATGGCGAGAACAGCGCCCTTGGATGCCGTGTACGCGAGTTGCGGTGTCGCCGCACCCATCAAGGCGACGAAACTCGCAACGTTGATGACGGAGCCCTTTTTCTTCTGGTGCCGCCGCATTGACAGCACCGCGTGCTTGCTCCCGTACCACACCCCTTTCACATTAATAGCTTGAGTCAGGTCCCAGATTTTCTCGGGCGTGTTGATGGCGTCGTCATCCTGGGCATGCATGATGCCGGCATTATTGAACATGATGTCGATGCCACCGTGTCGATCTTGGGACTCGACCGCCGCTTGGACATCCGACTCCTTGGAGACGTCGCACTTGATGGTCTCCAGACGTGGAGGGTTAGGGACGAGTTCTTTGACTTTGGCCAGGGCTTTTTCCAGGGCCGGTTCAGAGATGTCGGCCATCAGGACGGAGGCGCCTTCTTTGGCGAAGAGAATTGTTGTTTCCAGCCCTATTCCGCCTGCTGCACCAGTAATGAGTGCATTTTTACCCGCGAGGCGGCCAGGTCTTGACTCGGTAGTCATACTCGCAGATGTCCACCTCTTCTTGTTCAGCGGGTTGGAGGACGGCGGGTTCAGTTTATGAGAGCAGACCACAAGTGAGACGGAGAGTGAATCAGAGGGACTTGTTCTTTGCAGAGGACGTTGAATTGAGGACGATGACGGAGAGATTCTCAAAAATATCAATTACCACAGTCGCACAGCCGTGGATCTTCTTATCTAATCAAACAGTGTGCATTCGTTGGTGCTGATGGTGGTACGTTGGTGGTGTGGGTGGCATTTGTGGCATGTGTGGGCTCGACTCGTGTCCCCCTTCCGAAGAAACCCGCCCACCAGGAATGCGATGAGATGCCCAATGGGGGAAATTTTTAAGCTTGACGCCCCCCGAGAGCTCCTGGCTCGCTGGGTAAAGCTTGTCGATCGGAGCACATGAGCTATTGCTCTTATTAGCAGCGGGAGATGTGGTCCGATAGTGACATCCACACTCAGATCTCAAGCAGGGCGGATCGTGATAGGTCCTGCATTGCATTGCAGGGAGGAGACGACCTTCGATCGAGAGGATTGTCCCTACGTGTGGAGACTTGTAGTTACCAGATAGGTAGGTATACGAGTAATTAATAGAGATAGTGTCTGCTACTGTACTCGGTACAAGTGGCTGTGTGCATTAATATTGTTTGACTATGTACATCATACTGGGTCGGTATCTCAACACCGAGCTGCAACTGGTGGCAAGTGCTTAAGTGCATATCCTCCGTACAGACAAGGGGAGCTTATCAGCGCCACCTCCACTTCGTCCCCCCCAAGCATCCATCTACAACACCAATCATCTCCCCCGCTTTCCCGCGAAACACAAGTACAAAGTCCAGCTGTTGGACGCCTCGGTGCTTTGTCCTTTGTCTCTGCTCCCACGCAGCTCCCCTCTCTTCCTGTCTTGTTGTCTCACTTCTCGCCATGGTCAACAAGGGAGACGGAAGGATCCCGACTCTGGACGAGCTGGAAACTGCGCTGGCCTCGGATACAAAGGTCAAGCTCGCAGGCCTTGATATCGACGGCACGCGCCCCCTGCCACTTGGTTTATATGACACCTGCTAAACTCTACAGGGATCCTCCGGGGGAAACTCGTCTCCAAGAAGAAGTTCCTTTCCGTCGCCAAAGATGGGTTCGGCTTCTGCAGCGTCGTCTTTGGCTGGGACATGCACGATATGACGTACTTCCGCGAACTCGCCATCAGCAATAAAGAGAATGGATACAAGGATTTGGTGGCCAAGGTCGACCTGTCCACTTACCGGCGGATACCTTGGGAGGACAATGTGCCCTTCTTTCTCGTCAGTTTCTACGATCCAGATACCGACAAGCCCATCTCCGCGTGTCCCAGAAGTCTGCTGCGGACGGCTGTCGCGAAGCTGCGCAAGGCGGGATATGGAGCGATGGCTGGCGCCGAGTACGAGTTCTTCACATATCGCGCTCCCAAAGACGAGTCAATCCAGACGAGCCATCATTCCTCTTCCACGACAGCTTCTTTCCTACAGAACAACCCCGTCCACGCCCTCCCGCACCTGACACAAGGCATGTTTGGCTACTCCCTAACAGATCCTATACACAACCAGGACTGGTTCTACAGCATTTTCAACACCTGTGAACAGTTCAGATGCAATGTGGAAGGCTGGCACACAGAATCAGGGCCGGGAGTCTTTGAAGCCGCCCTGGAGTTTGGCGAGGTCACCGAGATGGCAGACCGAGCCAGCTTGTTCAAGTACGTGGTCAAAGCTATGGGGAGCAAGTATGGTATTACGCCAACATTCATGGCCAAGCCAAAGGAAGGGTTGCCTGGGAACAGTGGACATATACATTGCTCGATCGTGGACAAGTCTGGAAAGAATCTCTTCTACCGTGGCGAGAAGGACCCCAACCCTCCGTACAAGGACCTCGAGTATGTGTCTGATCTAGGCCGACAGTTTCTGGCGGGACTACTGGACGGTCTTGCTGATGTGATGCCGATTATTGCACCCACGATCAACTCTTACAAGCGCCTGGTCGAGAACTTTTGGGCTCCGGTCACGGTTTCTTGGGGTCTTGAACATCGAGCTGCATCTATTCGTTTGATTGCTCCACCAACGGCATCAGCGAAATCTACAAGGTTCGAAGTGCGGGTTTGCGGGGCGGACGCCAATCCTTCCTTGGTGCTGGCCACTATTGTTGCCCTTGGTTGGAGAGGTATTGAAAAGAAGCTAGAGATCAAATTACCACCCCTTGGTAAAGGCGAAGAGGTCGGGAGCCTCAACGATAAGGGAGAACGATTACCCAAGAACCTCAGGGACAGCACGGCACGATTTATGGCCAAGGACAGTGTCGCCCGCGAAGTGTTTGGCGACGAGTTTGTACAGCATTATGGTGGCACCAGAGAACACGAGCTACGACTATGGGACGAAGCCGTCACGGATTGGGAGGTAAGAAGGTATATTGAGACCGTATGAGACGATACGCGCTGGACGATTTGAGTGAGCAATGCTATCCATCTATCAGGGTTTCTACGATATATCTGTTTACGAAGTTCCGAGACAACTTCTTCAGATAACAACACCCTGCCCGGTTCGCAACAAAACGGCCTGTGATGAAATCAAACCGGCCGCCCTAAAGACTGCGGCGCTTGTTAGACAAGCAATTGTCGCGGCATGAAGAAGGCCGAGATCGTCTTCACAAGGAACTGGGGACAAAGCATCTTTCCTGCCACCAAATCTGGAAATGACACCCCTCGAGTTATACAGCCACGACTAGCTGGCTGACAGGTTTCACGTGCCAGATACCCCCTCCTCTTTCCTTGCCCGTCATATTGCTTGAAGGTCCAGCGATAGGAATTGGTGTTTTCTCATTGTCTCCGCCGGCGTATTCCTGTTGCTGTTGTTGATAGCACCACTATCGAAACTTGTGCAAGGAAACAAAGACTGATCTGAAGAAGCTTCTTTGTGCTGGACCTCTCACCACCGGAAAGACTCCTGAAATACCCTGCTTTGTTGTCTTTGCTCATGCTCTTTGTCCATTTATGGAAACATATAACAACGGCGCTTTATTGTTCTTTCTTGGTCGCTATCCTGTCGCCTCGCAATGCTTTGCTGCAAAATGTTGCTCTTATTCCATTCGAATTCTTCCACGCTCGCTCCAGTTTTCCTTCTTCTCCATCAAGCATTCTCGTTGTTACAAGTCTCTGGCGCTGAACGTGATACACCATGAGCTCTGCCCAACAAGCAAGGAGAAGCACGAGGGTGCGAAAGCAAACTGCAAAGGGGCGCGACTATTCCCAGCTCCTAGCGCAAAAGGCTATCTCTCGAGGTGCTCACAGCGCTGGCGCTCAAGCCCAAGCTACCAACGCGGCCAATACTTCCCCAACTAATTCTACTAACAACTCTAGGAGCAATGCTGACAGCGGCCGTCGGAGATCGAAAAGAATCCGAGCGCGTGTCGGTGACAATCCTTCTAGTGGTACGTCCAACAAAAGGCGCCGAATCTCCCCTCGAAGTACTCCAATTGAGGCATTCATGATCAAACTGTACGCTGAAGTCCACCATGCGGCTACGGCCAAGACGATCGGACAGTGGGATCGATATTGGACACAACACCTGCTTCGACAGGCTCGAACCCTACGCTTCTTCGATCTCCCTGAGGCGAGCACCAGCCAACGTTTGGCGGAAAAGCTGGACAAGTTTGAAAGCAACGATCCCAAGGAGAAGAGGGTTGCAGACCTTGCAAAAGACGATGTCGACATTAGCCATGTGCAGAGGTTGATGGATTTCTGTGATGAGCCGAGCCTTCTCCTCCTGACCATCTGTGCACACTCCAAAAGCTTTCGCGACGCAATTGTTCGCAGCGACGTCGAGAGCAGGGCACAAGCTCAGCCCGAATGGAGACAGTTATATCCCAAAATCAAAGAGCGTGCGTCGAGCCTGGAGCTCTTCGCCAGAACGCACAAGTTTGAGTGGACAGACGCCCTCTTTGCCTTCAATGACCACTTTGAAGATCTTCTGACAATTGTATACAAGGATTGTCGCGATGCCAGCGGCAAGGACGGCGCCAACTTTGGAATCGGTGACGATGATCTCAAAGAAATCCACCAGATCGGCACCGAAGACAGGGATCGTGTCCATTATCACTGGGTTCTGCCCGTTAACGATGGAGAACCGGCGGTCTGGCCCTCTATCAAATGCACCACCACAAAGGACCTTACTGAGGCCGGATTTGTGGACGCTGAGAAGGCGGTCGTGGGCATTCCAACGCAAGGCAACAACCTCGAAGTCAACCCGGGGTCTCTCTTCTCTTCGGGGTCGAAACTAGAGCTCCTACATTTCAACATTGACCAGGCAATCGTCCTTCCCAACTACGCGTGGCCCGCCGAGACGCGCAAGGTTATTCACACTGACGGGAGCGTCTACGAAGACCCGACTTTCTGTGGATTCTCAAACAATCCCTGTAGAGTCTGTGGAGCCAAAGCAGCCGACTCAAACACGCAGCCGCAGCAGCAGTCGTCGGACCTTGCGTGCCAATGCACGTTTGCCGATCTTTGCAAGGTGTACAACAAATCCCCTCAGAACAATCACCACGACATCCTTGTGGAGCTGTACACCACCGCTAAAACGGGCAGGGGTGTGCGTGCGCTGCAAGTGATCCCGCCCTGGACCTACGTAGGCGAGTACGTGGGGGAGATCTATGCGGTTGAGGCAGAGGCGGACGACATTCCGGGCTCGATGGATAACCACCGGTATGACATCGCGACGTACCACATGCAAGTCGACATCGCGCGGCCGGAGGACTTTGAGACGAGAACCACGGTCCGATCTAAGAAGAAGGGACAGGCCAAGGGGACGACGAAGACAGCCCCTGCAACCACCACCGCCACCAAGACAACCAAATCCGATGTCCGGCCGCAATACACGGTCGACGCGGCGCACCGGGGCGGGTGGACGCGGTACGTCAACCACTCGTGCTCGCCCAACACGCAATATGTGTTGACGAACGTCGGACAGCACACCCTCATCATCGTCCAAGCACTGCGCAGGATCGCCTTTGGAGAGGAGGTCACGGTCGACTACGGCGATGACTATTTCGAAAACCTAGGCATCTCGTGCCGGTGTGGCAGCCCGAGGTGTAAATACAAGGACGTCGATAGCTCGCGGTCGAGTCCGAGCGGCAGTAAGTGAGAGTGGGAGAGAAAAGCCCACACTGAAGATTGTGGAAACAAGTGTAAGTACCGGTAAAAGATCCAAGCGACAGCTGACGAGGCTGAAGGATGAATAGGAGCCTTCTATGTGCTGTACCTTTTGGGGGGGGGGGGGGGGGTGGGGAACCTTTTGTTGGATCCGCACGGTGAGAATCTTTTCTTGTCATTTGTATACAGTATAACCATGCTGTTATGCGATTTGTTTCTTTGGAATATATTTATATAATATTTTCATTCAGATGATTTCATTCTTTACATTTTCGCATTCAGGCATATCTTACATATACATAGATCCTTCCGCTGTGCAATGTGGGTCAGGTCTGAGTGGCGCACTCGGTCGAACGTGGAGGAGATCCTGCCGATGCTCCTGATCTCGGTCTTTCTTTGAAAATGGAAAGTCTCTTCTTCCTCTTTCGTCTCCCTGTACCTCATACAAGTAAGGCTGGAATCTACCGACCTTTGATCTCACCACGCTGCCTCAGGTGTGCTTATGGCCCTGGTGGCGCTCGTATATGTGATGCATCACTTGACGTCAGCTTCGCCAGGTACATATCGACGATGACGCCGAGTTTTACTTGGTACTCAAAGCACCCAAGACCCTAGTGGTGCCCATACCTATTTATTTCAATTGGGGTTAAAGCCCGTCCATCAATAGTGCAGGAAATTTCCCCCCAGCGCGGAACCGCCAATCGGACAAGGATGATCTGCAAGGGCAAAACTGATGTATCTGATGCTTAGTAACTCTGGAGGTGGAGGCTTTTGGCTGGAGGTGAAGTTAGAATCTGACGTGATATTGTACGGGGGTATGAACATATGTACATACATTCTTGGCCTCGTGTGTAGTAGGTGTAGCCACAGATGCACGGATGAGAATCACCACGTCAAGAGGTTTGAAAAAGATGAAGAGCGAGCGTGCCTCGCAAGGTCCGGCGAATGAACGTCAAGAAGTGGAGACATTCACCCAGTGAAACTCCAGATGCGGTGGGGCCATAAGGCTACGTCTGTATTTGGAGCGACTATATGAGGATACAGTCCTCGTACGCTCCGTTACTTTCCTCGAACAGGAGCACTCTATGAGAACAAGAGCTATGATGTCTTCGTATTTCACGCCAAAAGACTCATCGTCAAGTGCTTACTCCGTATGCATACAGATTCGTACGTCCCTTTACCAGGTTCGCTCGAGCCACGGCCCATTCCTTATGGGGCACAACGGCTCGTTTCTTCCTCCCTGGCGCCATCTGTGGGACATTACAAGTCGAGGCCGCTAATAGCTGTTTCCGGAGGGCTGGGTCAACTTTGGGAAATGAGAGCTAGATATTACGCCCCAGACGGGGGAATTGATTGACCCTCGACCGAGTATTAATCATCTTACCTGATACGAGTTTTGTCGCCTCGTCGCCACTCGTATGGAGTACACTGGCAACTCCCGAACACATGGGCATGGAGTTTGCCCACCCAAATGTTGCCCATCGATGCTTCGGGCGCAGCTTGGGTTTCATCCCCCGCGAGGGGTCAGCCCCGTCTTCTCGTGGCCAAACCTGCCGCTGATGGTTGTTTATAAGAACTGCTCCTGCGCTTGATTCTGACCCACCAACGGTGATCCCTCGTCGTGGAGCCTTTAAAGGATCGCGAGCGCCGGCACGAGTATATCGATCTCAGAAACTACTCGAACAATGTCCGCATCACCCACAGTCACCACCAAGGTTGTCGAGGTCAACGGCGTCTCACTTTCCTACCGGGAGAGCGGGAAAGGCGAACCTCTGGTCCTGGTCCACGGCCATATCTCCGATCAGCGCACCTGGATCGACCTCGAACACAGACTCGCGACCCGGTTCCACGTCTTCAATTACAGTCGACGCTACGCTTGGCCCAATGAACCCGTCAAGGACGATCAGCCCACGCCCTGGGAGCAAGACGCCGATGATCTCGCGGCGTTCATCGAGACCTTGGACATCGGGCCCGTCCATGTCCTGGCCAACTCGTCGGGCGCCGTCATCAGTCTGTACCTGGCGCGGAGGAAGCCTCGGCTGTTTCGAAATTTGATGGTCGAGGAGCCGCCCGTCATTGGACTGTTTCTCCAGACCTTCCCTCCTCCCTTGACGTCGGTGCTCTCCTTCCTGCTGCACCACCCCATAACGTTCTGGCCGGTGATGCGGTTCGGCGCCAGCACCACAGGCCCGACGATCGTGCACTGCAAAAAGGGAGAATACGACCAGGCCCTATCCGCCTTCTGCAGCGGCGTCATGGGCCCCAAGTACTGGCCGCGCATCCAGGCGAACCCGGACCGTCTGCGCCAGGTCGAGGACAACGCCAAATGGCTGTGCAACTTCTTCCGCTACACCTCCATGCCAAAGTACTGGGTGGAGGACGCGCAGAACACCAAAGTGCCCCTCCTGGTCATGGCCGGGCAGGAAAGCGCCGCTCATCAGTGGTGGACTGTCCACGAATTGCACAGGGTCAGCGGCGCGCCCAGGAAGAAACTCGTCTACGTTGACGCTGCAGGGCACCTGATGCACGAGGACAACCCGAAAGCTGTCTTTGAGGAAGTCGTAAAGTTTGTCTCTCGATGAAGCCGCCGTTGTTGCTTCGTGGAATTGAAATTGCGCTCAACCTATTCCAAGTCTTGGCTTTTGAGCGTATTGGACCTTCATATCGTGTCTCCTTTAGTGTGCCAGTCCTCGAGATAGTATACACAAAATACCAGGTTGTTTATTACGGTTTCTTGTACGAGTACCTTGTAGAGACGACTGTATTCAGGGGTATATGACTAAGCAAGGCTGCAGCCTCACATAAGTTCAGCCTTGCGCCTCGCCAAGCCGAGCCTCCAACTGCGCTGTTGCTCCGACTCTAGAATTCAGTGCTCTTCTTCTAAAACAATGCCGAAGGGATGAGCCTGTCATGTCCTCACCGGCACGTTTCATACGCGACGTGGCGCTTGGACGTCATTCGAACACTGTGTCGGTCCTTCGGCGACCCTCGCCCCGGACCATCAGTCTCCCTCCGACGAGAATATGTCAGGTCTCATTCGCGCAAGACCAATGCCAGGACTTCTCAATCTACCCTCAAGGACAAGGACGGTGACACACCAAAGACACACGATGGGTCAGCACCGGAAGCTCCGTCTCACACGAAACCAGACAAGAAAGAATCCCCGCGAGGGGGATCTTTCAGTCCGTTCAGCGAACCTAGTCGTCGAGCCATCAAAGAGCTACTTTCGGATCTGAAGAAAGCAAGCAAGAAGATCCAGTTAGGGAATGAAAGTGCAGAATCCTACAGCTTTGGACCACACAGGTCGCTAAATCTTGATGCACCCGCAGACGTGGATACGCAAGATAGCCCACACTCGCGGCCTTCGACCAGCGTTCCCCTGCGAGAGTATCACTCTACCCAGGAAGAGGCTTCGGACGCGACCAATGCCGGAGGACACCAAGCTATTAAGGACATACTCACGGAACTTGAAGATATAAGTAAAAGGGTCCTATCCAAGGATGAAGATGGCACTGGTACACACCTTCGAGGAGAGATACCATTACTTCCCGAGTCACCAATCATCACACAGGTCGCCAACGAGGCGAGACGACGTGAGGAAAGGAAAGAGCACCCATCCTATCGACGCATCAAAGGGTTAAAGAATAACCCGTGGGCGGAAATTCTCGCGAGCCCCATCCGAGCTTGTCAAGGTAGCGGCGCAAGACTGCCAGCCGACCTTTTGTTGGACTTTGGATATGTCAAGAACGAAAAAGACGGCAAGATATATCTGATGCCTGCAGAGCTTGCGGACGTCGATGCTCTAGAAGCAAAACTGGCAGAAGAACTGGCGATATTGGAGGGTCAATCACGAACACTCGACAATGTGACTAAGATGAAGGCAGGCAATCATTATGTCGCCAAAGATGGACCGATGGGAGGTGATGGTGGTGCGGACGATTCACTAAGCGGTCCAACAGAAGCCACCCAGATGACCACCAGCTATCCATCAACACCTCGAAGACACATCCCTATACAGAGCCGCCTTTTGCCCAACATCACTTTCCTGCGCCTGGTGACCCACCAAGCAACTCAACCCACCAGGAAAGTGTCCAGATCTTCATCACCAACTACACTCGAGACGATTCCCGGCCAGGTGGGCAAGTTAGTCCACTTCGACGCCCGTGAGTCCACGTCAACTGCGCAGCACTACCTGCAAAATAAGTATCGTTTCGACGCGCTGGCTAGTGGGCAAGGTACAGAAAAAAAGGAGCACCAAACGGACTCGGATCCATCCTCCGCTGAGCAAGGGAAAACTAGGTTCAACTTGAACAGGTTGCAATGGCAGCCTGATATATATCTTCGGATCGCGGATATCATGCGAAAACGCATTCTCGTTGCAATGAAGATGCTGGCAGATTCGGAGTCGGTTGCCAATTCCGAGGCGCCCCCCGTCAGGCCATTGGGTGTTATTGCCCTGCCGACACCTCGGGGTGGGAATTTCAAGGGCGAAGAGCTGCGACGGTTGATGAGGGGATCACGATCTACGGCCGTATCTGCCGGTATCAGAATTCGAGCCGTTACAAGTGAACCAAAAGAAGAACTGTCTGCACAAGCCGGAACTCCTTCCACTGCGGATGCCGGCCTTTCCATGCCGGCTCAATTCGCTCCTCTCACCGCCCAAGAACCGGATTACTACACGCTTGGCCATTCCGAGTGGCTCCCCGGAAGCGTCTTTCTACACGTTGGCAACGAGCACGATGCGCCTCCTTATCCCTCGGACCCGTCGACATCGCCCCTCCCACCCTTGCCGTCAAATAACCCCCTGATCCCTCCCATGATCACCGTTCTGGATACATATCGGTTCCCGGCCTTCTCGCTTCGTCGTCTGTTCGCGAATCCGTCGGCACCGGGAACCTCTGACCTGGAAGAACTCCATAGTCTGATTAGAAGGGAGTCAATCTTCCAGCACCCCAAGACGGCGGACTATCTTCTTCTAGTACGCCCCATACC